TAAAACCGCCGGCAGTATCGAAAGCGCAAGAAGTATGAGGTGAAGCGACATTGTGGGACAATGATTCAAACACGCATAAGTACACACGAACTGTTACATAGACAGAAAATAGCAAACCGGAACGCTTCCAACGGAGCGCGTCGATCTTATCGTTGCCGACACCGTCAGCCTTATCTTGAGCTTAGAGTAAACGCTTTTGTACTCCTGGACTACGTTTCACATGTCTGATACGTTGAGAAGTAAAATGGAAAACGCCTGTGTGAAAACGCGCGTCAAACGAGCTCGCCGACATCGATGGTCTTACTTCCAATGCTCCCTACGAAAGAGAAGTCAGATGATTTGAACTGATTTTCGTGTTAAATTACCGAATCCACCGACATATCGTCATGTCGACACAGAAGTGATATAGTAAATCGCATTGCAACGCCTATACGCGACAATACGACGATATGAGAATGTTGAAAAGTAATATCTATGGTAATAGCAATAATGACTAAAGACTAGAATGTGCATTTGTGAAGAAATTGCCCCAGTAGAGTAGAACTGGAAGAACTTCAAGGTTATGGCATGCATCGGCGAAAACGTGTGTCGAGCATTTTGGAACTTGGCATCGTTCACTAGTATTCAATTGAACTTTTCCTGCTCCTTTTCCTATTTACCGTACATGTACAGATATGACCAGAACTAACACAACCATCTATTTCGCCCATAGGCTCAGTACAGCGTTTTGAGCGCAACGACATCACCGTTTGTCTTTTCAACAAATACTATATGTGATTGTTGTTGATGCTACATGAAACATTACAAGAATACGGTGATGTTGTTACATCCGTATTTCTGCATCGACTCAATGGCGATCAAGTCTAGCAATGGTAAAACATGAGTAGTTTGCATAAACATATCGATGAGGCATCTTTATATTCACACTCTCGGTAACTTTCAAGCTTTTTTCATGATACTGCTACACATCCGTAGAGAGAAAACCATAGATGATTAAAAAGGCACCCCTTCACCTATTATTCAGGCGGCAAAACGGCGCGTGCAATCTATTTCTCGAATACCACATGATAAGTACTGTTAAAATTTCGCAGTTTCTGCCTGTTTAGATAGCACATCACCACCTATATACTCTCTCTCGAGTTCGCAATGGAGTTGGACGGGCCAGACAGACTTTAGATGTTTTTCGGCAGTCCGGCCGAAGGTCAGCATCGACTCGTGTCCTTGGCACACTGACTGCGAGACTATTGGCCCACCGCAATAGAATGCAGACTTCGATGTAAATATCTTACTGGCCAACTAGCTACGCACCCGCCCTCGAAGTCACTTTCCTAGACATGCCTGAGCTGACGTTCAGGGTCGAATTCGTCACTAACACGAGAAACACTTACGGTAATCCGAATTGAACAGCGACGTCATCTATCAACACCCAACGACAAAAAAAAAACACACGTTGAGCGCCTGGTCAACAGTTAACGGCAGATAAAAACAATCCGGTAAATGTTAAGGCATCGGAAGGCTCCCAGACCGAATTTGAAGCTCTTCGTACGGCTGAAGGTTGCACAAATATTACCATATTATTAGCAATACGTTAACGAATAGTAACTGTTTAAAACAACATGTTGAATTAACATATTGTACTAATTTCTGATACCAAACCCGATACTGATTTATGGCTATGGGTTTCGTTAAGATGAGTGACACATCGTCCATACCTATTAATAGCAGCTTTTTACAGGCTTTGTACATTCGCCCAAAAATTCTAAGGGACCCAATTTATGTGCTCGACTAAGCAACTGAATTTGGTTCGTCTCCTTGTTCAAATCTCCTTGTTTATAGCTATTCTATTTGAGAGAGATACAATATTGCAAAGATAATTGCACCTAATACGAACAATGAACTTAACCTTGGCATTGATAACACGTAATGATTCAGCACTCGAAAGCCTTGTTTACACAGATCATCCTTAACCTATTAATAGATAGTTCAAATTTTTTTACCAAGAAAACTAGCCTAAATTTCCTACATCAATTTATTTAGGTTGTGCCGTGAAGCTGAAGTGTAGCCTTACTCCTTTTCGCATGTAGTAATTTAAAATTAAGTATTATAATTGGCCTTAGAGCAGTAATGTTTTTAGCCAAACATTAATTCTGCGTGGACCAGCGCTTGTTAATTAATCACTACAGTTATCGTTGCAAAAGTATTTTGTCAATTTATAGTTCTTTACGCGAGCTCACGCGTTGAACGAACTAAGCATACCTTTCAGAAGTTCTCAAACTTAACTTGGAGAGACCTGTGGAACGCGGTCGACGCACTACGAATCCGAGGTAGAGCGTAGGTTCAGGAACGTGTGTAGGGCATGTACAGATTAAAAACATGGCTGGGAAATCAAGAGAATACCTGTAACGGTATTTCAAGTACGCCTTCTGATTTACTTGAAAAAAAGCTATGTTTAGAACATTGATTTTAGTGCTTGAGAAATGCTCCAAGCTTCTTCGAAAGGAAAAAGCTATCGTGGTTTGTTGAGGTGTCTGTTTGTGGTTGTCAAAAACTTACCCTGATGAATGTCATACGTCCGATTGAATCTAACCTTGATTTTTAATAGAAATACTATGAAAGTAAACCAAAGCTTTGCGAACCGCTCATATCCTTGTGGGACAGGTCCCTGATGATGAATGAGAGGATGTAAATGATGGTGTCAATCTTTAATCATCCAATTGGACTCTACTTTGATGTACGTATCGTCATTGTATGCATAATCTAAATATATGTGCTTTCATTCAATTTAAATAGTTTCACTTTTTGACTATAGAGGTAGTTTACATATTTTGCCTACTGACCGAACGACAATGGTTAGGCTCCAGTGACAGACAAGCATCTCAACACTTCAGGACACCTATTTAGATAAATATGCGTAGTCTACGCTAACAAGGGTTACGGTATAATGGCAGGAATAACTGGTTCTAAATAGTTGGTCTAAAATCGTAGAGGGACACGCTTCGTGTTAAATGCTGACCATGCGTGACAATGCGTAACTAAGACAGTAGCAGATTTTGAAACTCGAAACATAGGTAAAACTAATTTCCAGCATATGAACAATGACAAACAAGTTGATAGTAGATTAATTCCGAAACCGCCGCATCTTTCAACTTAACAGTTAGTCTGCAAAAAGACTTCTAAGCTTTAAGTTATGAGGCAATGTTTCCCAAATATTTAACAGAAAGAAAATAATTCGTTTTATGTTGAGTTCAATTTGGTAATATAATAAAGCTCAGAAAATGCAGAAACGTGCGCGGTGTGATCCAGGTAGCTAATGCGTATACTTCTTTTTGAGCGTGTTCCTATGGTAATCATTTGTTGAAGACTAAGTGAATCCAGCAAGATGCAAAGTCCGGGTAGCCATCAATCAATTAATGAAGACAAGCATGGCATATATAGTAATTTCTATTGGGGTTAACACCCAACCTGCAACGTAAGCTCGCCGTTTGCGAGTTTTTGCAGGGGAATGAGGTGTGCTGAGTTAAGCCGTAGGCCCCCTTCTGGAGGATCGCCTTAGGAATACTATACGGTTCAGATCCGGAGTGATTCAGCAGGGTAAGGATTAGCCACGGGGCATAGCGCTGAAAAATGCTGGCAGCCAGTAATCTACGCTGTGTGACTCGACAGATGAAATCTTTTTTTGCAAATACATAATATACTTATTTAGGTTACAGGTGTAGCGGTACCATGTGTGCCTGTTGCATGCAACGTGAAGTTTAAGCAATATTACGGAAAGCTTGATCGGGCTTTTACCTACGTAGCACGTCAGAATAACTTCTCCTACGTCAGTGACTGTGGAAAGTTACCACATCAGTGCATCAACTTGCTTTCCTACACTGAAATATAAAGGTATTTTTTTGTGCTTCCCACTAAGAAAGTAACTTTAGGTGAAATCATGGACATGTGTCTAAAATATTTGCCCCTATGTTAGAATTTACATGATCCGGTAGAGATAAATTTATGCCTATGACAAACAGTATTTAAAAAATATTAAACTGGATCATGTATATTTATTGTCGTGGTTAGACTCTTCACACACCTCTACTGAACGATGGCAACGCTATTGCTGATTTTTTCTTACGAAATGATACGATAACGAATACGTTATGTTAACGAATGAAACGTGTTTCATCCGTTCGCTCGAAGGACTAGTGCTCTGATCCAACCCAAGGCATTTGCCTGATACCGTTCTCATGTTAGTAGTGAAAAAAACCTGTTACACCTAGCGTAATAGTTGGAGAATGTTTTTTAGATGTATTGTAGAACTGAAAAAAAGTTAGATATTTTTCAAAATTTCGCTAATATTGAACAATACAATTTAGAAACTTACAATTTGTGAAAAATACTCCGAATTTAACATAGATTATCATAGGACGGCTGATAGAAATGTGAGCTGCTGCAAGAAAAGCGTGATATTAAGGTATTACTAAAAATTAGTAAAACGGGTAATTATTTCGATGTAATTTATGCTAAGAAGAAATATTTTTTTCGTGAAATTTCAACTGTTTTAAATTAATCAAGAAACAGATTATATAATTTGAATGCATGAATGGTATATTCTGACATTTATGGGCGCGACGTATGACACAATCATATCGTAAAATGATTCTAATGTAAATACTTTTTCGTTCTTCCCTACAAAATGTATTATTTTTGAACAGCCAGCTAACCCATGGCAGGAGACATGCCCATGTCTCCCATTAATGATGCAGAATAAATAATAAATGACTACTTCATAATTAGACTTTTAATAATTAAGTAGAAAAATACTAATAGTTGGTACTATAATCTCACGTAATTGCGTGCACTCAGTACTAATTATAACTTATTGCTTATTACTGCTTATAGTTAACAGGAGCTTACCTGGGACACAGATTCTCTTATCTGTACGAACTAAGGCTATGTCAAAATTAGTAGTAGTCATGCCAGACTATAGACCAATTAATTATGAAGCACACATTCAGTAACGTTGTTAGAAACAGTGTTATTTACTATTCTTTTTGTTCGTTTTTTTTTCTTTATTATTATTATTATTATTATTATAAAATGTAAAGATTAACATCAAACGTATAGAAGTAGCAACGTTTTGAACATCGTCTGTACTAATACCACGACAACGTATACCACTAGATGTAAAGGTTCGTAAGTCGTGTATCGGTTCTCAAAATGTCGGGAGCAACACCTGCCTCCTTCCTTGACAAATATTTTCAAGCAACATGTTTTTTCTCGTATTTAGATACACTAAAAATTCCGTATAGACGTTGAATATATATACGAGGAGAACGAGCCATTAACTATGCGCACCTATTTTAAGTGTGCACTATCCCTGGCCGATGTCTCTACGATACACAAACATGACAACATATGCACGGTATACACATACTTCGTACTTATCTACCGTCTGCGTGTGTGTACGTATATAAATAAATATTTGTCTTTGAGCATTTGCTTCTTCAAAGCAATTCTTCATTGGCGAAGAATTCTGTGAACATTGCAAAAGGCATTAGGGAAGATATTGAGGACGTCTAAAGACGAAAAATAGAGTCCGAACCGGTGAAGCTGCTAGAGGGTGAACAGTTCGATTATTGGACAGTAGTAAACAGCGCGCGGTTGTCGTTGCCATCATTAGTCGTCCCATATAATGCTTACATAGATGTACGTTCGTAAACTGAAGAGAGCGCTATTGTCGATCGCGTAGCGTTCTATTTGACAATATAAGGTCCTCCGTAAACGCTCGTCAGGGCGATTGTGCGTTGTTGCATGCAGATCAACATTAACTAATGACATCGCCAGAGAGCGTCTTATACGACATTGACATATAATTACGATATGTATATATATGTATATATATATATATATATATATATATATATATATATATATAACAAATGAAAAAGAACAATTACGAATAAACTTATATATTATACACCTGATTATAAATACACGCATTCGGCCACATAATAGCAATGATCTTAGCTGTCTCCTTTTTGTTTTTGTCGTTTTCGACAAAATGGTATGTTCATCTTTCACCATTTTCCTGTTTCCATGAATGAATCAGCAAACACTCAGAACAGCAACTACTACGAAGTTAGCGCTGGCACCGTTCCTGGCAAAACGTCGCTCACTTAGCTAAGTTGAAGGAATTCAAAAGCAGCTTGGTTACTTGAATTTGAAATTCGAAGGCGGATTTATATCTCAGATAGATTTTCTGTAAGCACATGATGATATTAGTTAACTCCAGTGTCGAGACCGAGAAGCTGCTTCATTACTTCGTATGTTGAAAAGGATACGGCTACCATGGGAACAGCTCGAAAGTAGTTGGCTGTCATGCCCCGATAGAGACCGCGCACCACTCCATGTTCGCGCCACGTCAAAATAAGCGCTCCGAAAAAGCCGATACTGGAAAATAGGTGCAGATCGAGAAGCGAAATGAATATAAACGTATTAGTAGATGCTTTAAAACAGTCTAACTTGTTGTTCATTTATTTACAGATATCGATCATCAGCAGCAGCATTGACGCGTGCCCGACACATGCATATACTTGTCAGATCAATACCGGTATTGACTTATCTCAAAGCAAACGTTTTAAACCACTACGCATTTTATGAATGCAATAGCAGACCGATAAATGTACTTTTCCTACTAATTAGTCCTTGCAAATTGAGTCGTGAGCAGTCACCGTGCTTTACTATGAGAGACTTCTACAACATCTTGGTCAAGACATTGTCGTAGCAATATATCAAAACGGAACTTAAAATGCCGGTGCTCTGTGTGAGGATCAAGTTTTTCAGAAGTGGTCAAAATGCTCTTCTGGCTAGGCAGGCCATTGGGGACCACCAATGAGCCGAGTATACTTACTTATACTTATTCATTTCCTTATACATTAGACTAAGTTGCATTCGTCTTCGGGCAACGTCCATCGGATAGCTGACAGTTTGAGCAATTGCTCCAGCAATACCGCCGCACAAAAGTTTGCCAGGAACGTTGAGCTGAAGTCCGCCGGAATTTGTCAGATTGGGCTGGGCAAAGACGAACGGAAATTGAAGCAAGAGTACTGCTTTGAGTTGTTCGAATACGTAAAAATTGATTCCCGCGTAAGGGACCATTCCTATCAGAGTAGGTGTTAGTCCTTTGTAAAGCGCTAATATTCCACCCTCCTGGAAATTAGAATACGTAACAGACACAAAGTGAATCTTCTAGAGGCATTTGTAAGAGAGAAATTACCTACGCGTCGAACCAAAGGTTGAACGAGCAAGTACAATAACAAACGTAAGACCCATTAGGTACTAATGACGATTTATATCCACTCTACGCATCGTTAACCCATCAAACCGAGCAAAAATCGCGGTCGCATTATTTACCCTGCGGATGAAACGCTAGTAGTTCCATCCCGGATAGGACGTCACTGCCCGCATTCGTCAGTTAATTTGCTAGTAAGCCATTCAAAACAATGATAATTATCCTGTCTTTATTACTTTGTGCATACAGCAAACGCTGTAACTACAAGTTGAAAGCTTTGACACGTAAGACCTGAAAAAAAGTTGTCTTGGGGTCGTTTCCTCACAAGACATTACAGCCTTAGAGATAGGAATATTTTGCTTGGGTCACGGTATCTTTTAAAATATAATCATAAATTTTCAACATCCGTAGCTACAATTCACGGACACTGCACGGCGCATATTTCATCGGATCTTTTATTTTTATGCATATATAGTTCAAGGTTGCTGCTGTTGATAGCGACAATTTGTAACGAAGTTTTGAAGATTAAGCTTCGACAAGCACCAGGAAGCGAACGGCCGCAATAAAAATATACAATTATATTTATACAATAAAAAAAATTGTTTTAATTCTGTATACGAGGTTAAATTCGACCTTGAATTCGACCCTAAATCGACACTTAACAATCTTTTTTTTTTAACATTCAACAACCGCCTAGTAATAATAGGTTTATCCACGCTTGTCACCCGGTATATGCCGCTATCAGAATTTGAATGAGTTAATAGTTATTAATTATACAAGATTTATGAATGAATTTACATATTATATTTACTGTAGAATTTATTTTTAATACTTTTACAAAGTGATACTAGACATATTCATAATTATATCAGTAGCATCGTTTGAATGTTCGTATCGATAGCTTTTGTTAGATCTCTTCAAAATTTCTAATATCCGCAGCAATTAATGCTTGCACGAAAAAACGGGCTGCATGTACGAACCGTAGACGCAGACTGTTCCCGTACAATAAAATTGAATTAGTATGACATGCGAGTGCTGTTATGCTTCGGTGCGTTTGAGAACGATGGTCGGTCTGATGCACGTCCGCCCGCTAAATCGCAAGGTAGTAACCAGGAGTATAATTCGATTCGAGCCGACGATAGGATAGACGCGCTTTTATCAGCTGGACGTATAATCCTTAAGCAGCTGCTTAACTGCTGACCGTAAGTTGAATGTACGTAAGCCGTTGCTTAGACGCCAGTGGGCTATGAAGTTTTTCATTGAAACATTTAATCACGATCCCTTGTATAGTCTGATGATTGGCCTTAGCAATGATCGCAATGAGGCACCAGCGTCTCTCGGTGTATCGAGGCTAACTATCGTCATATAGTAAGGGTTTCAAGATAATCATTGGATGAAAACCCACTGCTGAAACAGGAGATACTAATGGCAGCTGTTCGAAAAAGTACTCGAAGCTATATCGTACACGCCAGAAACGTGAACAGTATTAACAAATCCAAGTTAGGATTAAAGGCTGCCAGGGCAAATGCTTGCTCTTCATTTTAGCCAATGCCAAAACTTCCATTTTAGCACGAGTGAAGCTTCTTACGCAGAGAAGATGAGAACACGTAGGGCGGAGATCGCTATAGTGGCGACTTCCTCTATATCTACCCGCTCTGTGGTTGTCCGTCGTGGAGAAAAGCTTTTAGAACTTCCGAACCTCGAAGTCCGGCCAGTCAAGGCCAGAACGAATGGGTATCCTTGGAACAACTGTCGCAGCTCTTGAATATTGATGCGAATATAATTAAAACTATCTGTGCGTCAGGTAAACTTACCAATAGCGCATAACCCAAAAATGGGCTAGAACTTGCACAGGTATGAGATACTGCTGCCATTCTACACCGCTTTGTTGCAGTTTTCGATGACAAATCTAAGTCGCGTGTTCTCAAAGTATTGTGTTTTACGACTTCGAGCAACAGTGCGGTACTATAAATCGATTTAGCTTTGATAATAATTTAAAAACTAAAAGGCAATTTTGATATGTAACAAATTGATTGAGTAATCTATTTTGGTTTGTTGTCTTTTGTTGTGTATGTGGAAAATAACTTGTTTTCTATGTATTATGTACCTAACTTCTGCAGTTGGTGACTTTTCTTACTCGAACCCTACAACTCGCCCAGCAGATAAGTTGGGCAAAGTCAATTTGGCAATGGAAACACGCGGACGATGAAGCCAGCAAAACATAGCAAGGGACCGCATTAAACAAACGCAATACAAATGTTTTTCTTTCTTTTTTTTTTTGTTTGTTAATTCATGCGTTAGGGTGTGTGTAGGCGTTCTGCCGGAATTAAGAAATAGGCAGTGGAAGCTAAAGACTACGAGACCTAATGTCTCGTGTTATCAATGTTGGACTGCAGCGAGCTTTGCTCAGAGAACATCAGTTATGCATACATCTGAAAGTGCTTCAAGTTCAATTATATTCCGTTATTGAAAATGTGAGGTAGTTACGCCTTACGCGCTTTATGTTCAGTATCGCTGTTATGTATTCTATCAGATAGACGGTTGGTTTTCAGCTCCCAGCAATGAGACAAAGTCTGTGGGTTCGAGACATTTCCCGAGATATAATCTACGAAACGAACTGTCACTTGTTTGACAGCAAGTAAAATGAAAACTGTACTTTATAAAAACAATACGTCTTTTATTGAAAATCTCTGCCAAAAACACTAGTGGAACCGCCATTTCTGTAATGCAGACGACAGCTAACAAAATTGTTACGGAAGGAAACTAACCCATAGCTTCGTCCTCGCGAGTCCCGCGTTCAATGGCTACTATTACTCGTATGCTGCTTTGCTTACTGTAGCTTCGACCGTGTACGATCCATCTGAATTCAAATAAATTTACTTAGCTTCCCAGATATGTGCTTCTTATCCACAGACGACGCTGTTGTCATTTCAATAGCTTGCGATGTTCTACTAGAGCGTTATAAATAAGCTATTTGTTCTTGCTTCGAAATCATCATCCTTGCATAAGTGACGTGTCATCAAACGTCGCCTGCCTTGCTATACCTGCGATATGGACTTGAGCCGACTGAATTACTCGAAGGGTCAAAATGTCTTATTAAATGTACAGTACTAATACTGCTACCAGAAATGTACGTCCTGCCTCTATAAAATTTCGCTCGTTTAGAGAACTAACGACGTTCCACCGAACATATATATCTATAGGAAATGTTTATAATCATTCCATACCGATTTCGTGTATTGATCCATTATACATAATATTGCACATACTTGTCGATAACATTAGTAAGAAATCCGCCCTATTTTTTCGATTCAGCTGGCAGAAATATCAGGTGTTATTGGGAGCTTGAAGTATATGTGATCCATGTTTCCAGGTGAGTGATTGATGCAGCTATAGAGTGAATTTTTGTTAATAAAAACGAAATGACAGTAACGTAGTTTTGCTTTTTCAATTGGTTAGTGAACCTGTCATAAGCCTTTTAGTCATCCGTAATTCTATATTCGTCGGGGATCATCCGCGGAAGTCCCACAGTAACTGTTCGGAGTAATAAGATGCCGGTCTTTTAGCTCTTCACGTGTCGCAGTGTCAAGCATCGATCATGAAAATTGAGTAGACGAATTAGCTTACGCGAACATATATACCCAGTCGATTTTTACTTTGTAAGCACCTAACAGAGGCGAATAATTAATGTTCGTATACTTCTCGTGCTGTTTTCGTCAAGCTTTTCTTGTCCCGGTGGCTTTGCCATAGTGCTATTCGAGTGTTAGCGACTAGAACTACGGCGTCAACAACATGATCTGTAATACTAATGCAGATGGTAGTGTTGTTTAGTTACTTAAATGCATTTACCTATATGAAGAACAACTGTAGATAGATAATAAAGGTTGTAAAGTACGTCGTGCGCGTTGTGGTGAAAATCGCTTTGTGGTTGATGTATTGCAAATGACGCTGGGGTTGTTATATCGATCCTGAATGTGGCAGTTTACAACGAACAATGCGTAGTCGCCGACATTGGCGGCGGTGTCGCTGCTGTTGCTGCTGCTGTCACCGTCAAACTAGCGGAAAGGTCTGCTGCAATGTAGCTGTACCTCAACGAGCGTATGTGAGCGTCTTGTCTTGCGTGTTTGTTGTATATGTGGGTGTGGGTGTGTGTGTGTGTGTGTGTGTGTGTCTGTGTATGTATAGAAGCGTGCCTGCATGTACTTCTTGATATGCCTCCTTGAGAGATTCTTTTTGGATCGCTGATGCCGGATTGGTGATGGGGTGTTGTGCTGAAGGTGAGCAACATGTCAGACCAGCTTCCTGTGCGACGCAAAGTTGTAAAGGTTTACAAAGAGTAGTTCAACGAACAACTGCTGCAGTTACCGCGTTGCGAGTGAAGAGAGTGAAGCTGCCCTACGACCATAACGATGTTGACAGACACAAGGTCCCGGACATAATCAACGTAAGCGTGCTCAAGTATTATCGCATCTACCGTGAAGTTAACGATTAAGTGTCGTTAACGGCAACCGTCTTACTGTCGAATAAGCAGAACTTCTAACAGAGTGTAGTGCAATCCTTCGAATGACACATTCGAATGACACAGGGCTAGCTCGTCAATCGTTATTGCATCGTAGTATACTATAATACGGGCAGGCAAGAAAAAGGCCGACTGATGCGGAAACTGAATGGTGGCTGGAGGGGGTGTGAGAAAATGGAAACCGCTGAGACGAAATATAGTGTTACTTGCTGTGTATTTCTGTTACTAATTTCTATAGTATTCCTTCTATTTCGTTAGCCGACAGTAGAAGAACAGGGTCTATATTGTGAGACAGGAAAAAAACAGTTGACGACAGCAAATTGCGGTAACAAACAAAGAAGCCATGCAGAAGTCAACGAGCGTCCACTGTGTATTGATACACATAATGGTGTATTATGTATACATTTTCAAATACAATGTTGTGGATAACTGTACATTGTGCATTACTTATTGTACAATAATTATTGTCAAAGTTCTAAATTTTTGTCTGAGGACCGCCGTTTATCTATGCGCCGTTTTGATTCTCTTACGGTCCCGGCAACCGTCCTCCATCCCTCTCATTGACACAGAGCGGCGAGTGTTTGATGCTGGTATTATTTGTCCCGCTTTTTGTTCGGGCTGTACTTACAAACACAACTATATGTTTTTTTTCTACAAATCACAACCTTCCTCCCAAACAAACCGGTTAGATATTCGTTTGCATACATTGTGGTTAGGAAGGTTTGCCTCGAAGTAAATAATGATCATAATTGAAGCTCGTTAATGCGTACCATAAAGCTCACACGCAACGGCTGGACCAGCTGTCAACTCTCTTAATATACGTTTAATATAAAATAGGCTTAGCCCCATTATGTTTGATAGATTTAAAGCAACAAACCTTTTTGAAGATATTGACTATCGTATCGAGGATTCCGCTATATATGTGCTGCCCATTAACCTGGAACGCTAACCGTGCCCTGACCATGTCAAGAGGATATGTTGCGAGAACGGCTGTCACACCAGCTGCTGAACCTGCCAAAAATTTACTCGCGTGTGGACTACTCCTACCTAAAAAGCAAACATCATAGTTAATGAAACAAAAGATACGGTTCATCGTTTCGTATAATAATTTCTACAACGTATTAATGCAGTCTATTAAAGCTAGATGCTTGATAAACGTAAAATTTGAATGAAGATAAAATTGGCCAGACCATAGTATAACGGTACGAGACAGCATAAATGTAAAAATAATAATTGAAACAAACAGCAAATATTACAAAATGAATCTTCCTGAATTAACAGTCATTAGTGCTAATTTTCAGACAATTTGCCTCATCCATACACCATGTCCATTAGTAATACAGGCAATGCCTGCTAGTAATACTCGCAAATCGCAGCACAGAAGAAGAATGATTCGGTGCTTAAATGACAAGCAGTCGGGCATTGCACACACATACGCACTGTGTGAGTTCCTACGCGACTGAATACAATGACTGATATCGTAGACTTGTTTAACCTCAATCAGTCTCGTTTTTTTTTGCCGATTTTGGTAAAATAGTGGATTGCCCCAAAGCCTGATATTAGATGGATCCATCCGCATCTGCTCATAACTGATGCTCGCGGTGCAGGTCTTATGGGTGTCGCTATTTCTGCAAAAGCTGCCAAAGTCGTTCCTAATGAACAACAAAACAGCAGCTGCTGAACAGCGAGAAAGCGCCCAGGAAAGAGACAGGTCAACGGGACTTCGTCGCTTGATCCATCTATACAGGCGTCTTTGGGTTCATTCTAGCAGTCGTGTAACCTGCTGCCGCAGTCAATCTGCTGCCGTAGCGGACGACTCACAACAACAGTACATTGTGGCCGACAGGATTCCTTCGGTTGACCCAACTTTTGAGCTCTTACTAGCCATGAAGAGTCGAAGAGCAGCAAAAAAGAAGTGGGATACCGATGGAAAAAGAAGAAACCCATTTCTTAAATGGCCACCACAAGCACTTTGTTTTCGGTGCCAGTGAATCGGCAACGAAAGAAATCTTCGGCGATTGATAAGCCTGGCTATCACAGTCATTGCTTACTACGAAGCATCGTGCACGACAATTAAATGTATAGAAATAGGGAGCGACACACCAACAGGTTTCTACTATGGCGACAGTCCACGAGGCTTAGGGCTGTGGTACTGCAGTGTACAGGGAATCGTATAATAATGGATGCGCTGGCAGTCATGGCATGGCATGGCATAGCATCCGTTAATATGTCAAGCAAACGTCCGTATCAGGTAATTGGCCGGATCACGTAAACATATCACACGATAGGCTATAAGATTTAAATGTATATAACCCTAATGAGGAACACAATGCAACGAACAGGTCATTAAGTCACAGTTTCGGATCTAATCTATAATAGAGTTTTACGTCATTTAATTAAATATACCCTTATAAGAGCTTCATATATTTAGTTTCATACTTTCTGCTTACGACAACAAACAAAGTTCAACTAAAATAAATAAACTACGTTCATATAAAAAGATTACCTTAGATGTATTTATTTATGTTGGTTTTTACACCTGTGTAGTGCTGACTCAGTTCGACCTAGCTGATGAATATTTATCTAGCAAAAACCAAGGTTTTTTTTCTCTGCCACCACTTTATAAATAAATGCACTTTGAAGCTTCGGGTAAGAATAGAAATAGCTAAGAGTAAACTGCCTTCACTTTCTAAAGTTTCCGTTGATAATACTTATTATAAAATCCGTCAGCATCTAATTTATTGCGGGTCTATCTGGCTTTCAAAACTTTCAAAAATAACCACAACCTTTTATAGAGTTCAAATGTTTCTGGTACCAAATAACCACTAAAATATATTAACATCGTAGACTCTAAAAATAGCAAATAAAGTTCTACGAAGCAGTAGTTAGTGCAGCTTTCTAGCCGTAACTTTAGACTAGATTAAAAACTATAGAGAAATAGATTGGTCAGTGTAGGGAACATTCGCTTACCAATGGCAGACTCCTTGAAATGTTTTTTGTACGTCTCAAACGAAAGAAACTGCACAGCTGCGTACGGAAAGATCCTCACCATCATGGCATTATTCCCCTTATAAAGGCCTTTGAATCCCTCCTGAATTACTATACCACGAAGTCCGCTGACGACTCCATGTTGAGCATAATGTACGTTGTGTGCTTGCAGTAAAATTTTAATTCGATCTAAAGGAGCCACAGTTGTCTTTGAAGCCATTCCCGCAATGCCTAGAATGCAACAAGATCTTTTAAGTTATTTTAACATAATGGCAGGCATAATGTTATGCGTACCTAATCTTGTTATATAGCGCTGAAAGTGCCTTTATGATTCTTTTGCAGTCGTTCAATGTTCACTTTGGGATTAAGTGAGGATCATTTCTGATCATTCTTACCTACCTAATCAGTTAGACTCGTTGACGAAAAAAACTACAGTCATTGCTTGCACGTTGACAGAGGTGTATGCCATTTATGCCATAAACCGATGGAACGGAACCTGGTTATAATCAGTACAGCTTTTGAATTTATTGGAAGACCCCGATGCGAAAAGTGCGATGGTCAATGACTGAAAATAGTCTCGAAGATGATGTCCGAAGATGCAACGAATGATCGTTCAAAAGTGTTACTAAAGCGATTGGCATTTGCGATGCTGTAATAGAAATAAAACTCATCCCGGTAGCTGCTTATCGTCTAGCCTGTCCAATGCGATGGTACAACGCCAAGAATTTGGGTCCTTGTACTTTCAAGTGTAACAATAATAAGCTATTTGATGACTATTGAAAATGTTGCTAGAGATGGCGGACGTTTGAAAGTTTTGCCTATTCGAGAAGCGTCTTATTTTCAAGAAAAACAAAAGTTGTTGTTGTTGTTGTAGTCAGGGCGACAGTGTTACTCTAGTCAAAGCGTTAAACCATATTTCTCTATGAAATATTATAGAGGCACAGCTATATGCGAGCTGTCCTAGGGGTTGAATGTCAGGGAAAATTAAATGTTGACACATTTTTCACTGATGTGTACATTATGCAAAAGACGACGCGTGAACGTTATTCCTATGAAACAATATGTGCGTAAAATATCGTCAGTGACTGCAGCGAACTACAGACTTTTCCTTTTGTCTGTATGTTCACAGAATCCCCCTCGATTCGTTAACTTTTCAGCGTTCTTTCAACTGTCTCTATCTGCAGTGCTTAGGACCACAGGTGGCCTTTCGGACCTGTCAGACTCAAGTTCAAATAACGATAATTATAATAGTAATGTTAAAAACACTAATGATTATAGTGAAAATGCAAGTAGTTACTATTGTGAGCGATTTCTTGCCTCATACAAGTGGCTAGTACAATCTAATGGTACTTTTTCTATTACGCTACATTAGTTCCATTATTGTGACGGTCGTAATCGGTCGGTAATAAATATTACACGATCCATACATATCCCTCTGTCCTATAGTCTTGTTTTTTTTCGAAATAGTGAACCAAGCCGCTGAATATTGGCTGACGAAACTGTACGACGTTGTCCGCATATGGTGGGTGAACCTGGGTTTCCAGCCGCCTTAATAACCATAATAACAATAAGGTCAAAATAACCATCGTGTACATCATCAACTAAGCTCAATTAAGCATCACCAGAAGATACATTCATGCTCCTAGTTTTAATACACCTTAAAGGACGTCACCTTCCGGCGCATATCCTCGAGTCGCTCGCAGGACAGTCTAGCAAAAACAAGATTTCGCCCATATTAATCATGTTTCCTCCTTAGTGGTATTAAACGAATTAATGCTGTGAGTATATGTATAGCGAAAAAAATTCCGGTGTTCTCTCAGCCAGTGAATAATATCTCGAGTCATGATGGTGACTAACGTACGATTGAAATAACTAGACTATCTCTAAAATATTTTGGTTCCGTTTAAAGTAGATAAAACGTAACACACAAAGATGGTTAACAAAATTCTCTGAGAATGAACGTGTTAATTATCAGTCATTATAACACTGATATGTAAGCCCGCTCCGGGGCTTTTAACAATTTAGGAAGAAGCGCCGGAATATCACCTACGCCTCACGGCTGGCGTCTAGCAGTGCAAATAAATTAAACTTAGGATATTCCTTTAAAGGAAAAATAGGGAATTTTTTTGCGTGATTTTTTTTTGGTTTGGATAATATTGCTTTTCAACAACAGCTACATATGATTAGAAATGTCTCTGTACGCCATACTACAAGTCATGGCCTAGCTCGGTCCTACTATATCAATTTGGCGTCTGCCTGGTTGATGGGGGGAGCAGGATTCATTGCTTCACGTAAAACTACTCTAGATAGGGTGCTCCGCAACAATCTACTGCTGTGCATTTCGCTGCCAAGCTAGAAACACTGATAGGTATTATCCAAATATAGAGTTCGTCCAATATGTCTCTCCAGCGATATCAATTGTTACTGTTCCTATCCACAGTGAAGCATTCAAATGGAACTAATCTTACATGGTGTCGATTCGGCCATCAATCTGTATTTTCTCCTTCTATTTCACCGGTAATGTAATCAATGGCTACTGCGCATCTTATCACCATTATACGATTTTCACTTGCTAACGCTATCAGCGCAGATCAGGAAGATTTATACAAGGCAGCGGGGTAGATGAGCCACTACAATCATTTATGTGTGTGCATCTGTGTCGAATAATCGCGGAAGACTTTCATCGGTTCGCTTTTCATGAGCAGGGAAACGCGCCGGTATTCTAGCAGGCAACAGTAAAAGAAGAACGAAGACAAGCAATGAATGACGACGGACAATCTTCAGCCAGCCGATTCATCAAAAGGAAGCGAATAGAAAATCCAATGGGAAACTATACGGGCTGTATTTCACACTAACAGTTGAACTTAATCTTTGTCGCCTTTTCCGCAGCCGTCTTTCAAATTGCAGCCACCTGCTAGCCGCATGTTAACTAGGTATCCATCCTATATCTCAAAGTATCCAACATCCCATAGGGCTCATTGGATCGGATATTTTTTTAGATTTATTCGCCTGACTTCTGTTTAACTGAGGAAAAAGCCAACGTGAAGACGTGCTCGGCTCCTTCGAGCGTACATACACATCCATATACGTATCAGGGCGTATCAAATGAATGCACATATGACGCTTAAAAACTGTTGAAAGGTCTCATTGTACATCATACGTATAGATATATGAACTGACAATTACTTTTATCTTGAGTTGCATAAAGTTGGCGCGAATTTGTCGTATGTCACGACAGAAGGAAAAGCAGCATGGAGGAACTATTTTACGCTTCTTAAGTTATGAAGCTAACCTCGACTGAGGGAGCGTATCCAAACGATAGCTTGCCGCAACGTCTTCTAATCTCGGCAATAACTTTTAACGCCGAGTAATACCGGTTCATTACAAATCTCAGTACAGATAAGCGTCCAGACCACTCATCAGTCCAATCAACAATTCATTAGTCTTGGACAAAATAATCGCTTGATATGATTGAAACGTGTTAAACTTATGTCAAAGGTGTGCTAAATTATCATATACCTCGATCCGCTATGAGCAATCATAGAAATCACGGAAAATCGACTGCATACGGGTTAATGTTACGGCTTACACAGAAGTTTAATGGTTTTTAGATATCTGTGACATGTTCATTTTTGCAAGAAGCTTTGGTTTAAGATTTATTCTCAAGCAATTTTTATCAGATCATATTTAAAAAAAAAAACATACACATATCATTATACGCAAAGATTTATCTCGTCTGGCCACTATTGTCATCCGAGTGGATCTTTTTATAAAACCGCGCTACAGTTATCAATGGTGTTCAGAGTCTGTGTAGAATATATTCTCAGTGACGCCTACTTTTAGACAGGGTTTACTTTCGTTGAATGCAAAGCGAGACGTTTGAGAGCGGAACGGGTGTCAAGACACGCCCTTAGTGCTCTAGTTAATTTTCTATTATTATTTGCCGTTCAGGTTAGATTGACAGCGCGAGCTAAAGAAATATTTCTGGAATAGTCGTAATATTGACGACTGGAGTCGTCTTAGTCTGCAGGTCAATGCTAACAACGCGATTCATTTAAATCTTAAAAGCGGGCTTTTTTATTAGCTCAAACACAAAACTATCAGCCAGTCGCATGATGTTGTGAAGTAAAAAAGACGCTACATAGAACGTAGTAACCTGTAAACTGCCTATGTGTTATTTAAAGGAGCAATCCATTTTTGGCGTCACTAACAGATGTAAACCAGCACTTGAAAATGGTCATACATTGTCAGACAGCTGTTTTGTTTCATACTGTTTGACGCCCGAGAGGACAGCTTTCTTCTGCAGCACTATCTGATTGAAGTTAGTTTGAGATGCATGCGTTTATAAACTCGGTTCCGAAGGTCTAGGACGAAAATTTCATTACAGAAAGGCTGTGATAAGGTTACGAATGTTGATCATTTTTCGTACAATGAAAATGATTGATACATTAACCTCGCTTGCGGAATGATGTCCCGGAGGGCTAATTAGTAGCGTTGGTCACTAAGGCCCAGTATCGCTGGCTGAATGCCCCCAACAACTATGGCCTAGATGTATGTACGTACATCCAGCGGAAGAAATAGAGAAGTAAGTTCCGAAAATATAAAAAAAAAGATCCTTTCACCTTCGAAAAGTTTCTCTAAACATAGTGAATCCTTATACTATTTAGATTTCTATATTTTCAGTGAAAATCAATAGTACATTTATGCGTTTACATTACGCTGCGACATTTAGTAGTATAGGAAGATCAATATAATTATGGAGGATAAATATGTTTTTTTCTGATGTTTGTCCTCTGCTTCAGGTCTGCAGAGATATAGAAGAGCCCTTGACAAACGTATCTGACGGTGGAGTGCAGTTGGTGCACTCAGACGTGGATAGGTAGAAAGCGAATGTTGTACTGCATCGAAGCAGTCAGTGACTACCGTTGATTGGAACTGACTTGAATGTGTTATATATATGTGGGTTAAATTGGAATAATTTTACTATTATTTTGTTAATCAGTGCGGACAAATGATTAGACATCCATCAAATATTTATTTGTAAATACACTTAAGTGCAGTAACGAAGTTTGCTCTATACCTCCAGCGATGAAACTTTTCGTCGCAACTGAAGTCGTAGATTGTTGGCCATTGTCCATTTTACCACGTTGAAAGTTATGTCTCCACTATGGAGGACGAATTACTTAAACACCACCGACGTTGTTCGGTCTAGAGTGGCGCTCGTTTCTCTTTGTTTCACTTCCGTGACGTGTGGCTAACTTTCACAGCTGCATTCTATAAATAAACATTCATCGATGAATACTGCCCTGCGGGTCGGATAGGATACGACGCGTATTAATCCAGCCACCGCACAACAACAACAACAACAACAACGGCCACACGAATCCACTAATCACCTCCGTGCGCGCTGGTGACAAAACACTCTCCTTGAATGGGTTCGGCTGACGATCCTTCGTACCACAGTTGGCCAATGAATAGGATCTTGACTAACTGGTTATCCTCTACTGGGAACCGCACACGTTTACTCACTCATTCACGCTCCAACCTAACGTGACAGAGACGGTTGCAGACATCACAGAAACGCATAATGCAGTCTGTGCCACTGCTGCTGCGTCTGTAATCGTCGTCGTCGTCGTCGTCTTTGTAACCACCTCGCATTAGCTGGGTTACCTCTACTGTAACAGTAAATTGAAAGCAAGATCGCTAAAACACAGCCAAACGCGCAAGCAAAACACAAATATACGAAACGGAAAAACTCTTGAAAGAAGGTTTGTTTGTCTGCTTGGTATCTCTTTACATATCTGTGCGCTCGGCGAACAGCTGACGGTTACAGCTCGCAGCCTTCCGAACCCAAGCAAACGAACGTCAGCGTAACGTTGCACCGGAGAGCGCACTACGTTTGTCCACCACCGCGCTGCCCGTTTTCCACAGCTGTTGTTGTAGCAAAGTGACTATGTCGGCGCCGGTAACTGACGACGATCCGCGGCTGTCGACGATCGTCGTCGTTGTCGTCGTACTGCGGTTGTGACTCCACGAAGGGGAGGAATAGCGCAGCAACTGCAAGAGTCGCTAGTCAGCCACTCTCCGTCAGCAGTTTTCGTTCAACGGACGAACCCCAACTAGTCGGTCAGACGGCCAACCATACGTCCATATAGGCAGGCAGGCAGGCAGGCAGACAGACAGACAGACAGACCAACCGACCGATCGGCCGGCCGCTAGGCGAGCGAGATCTACGTAGCAGCAGCAGCAGCGACGGCGACGGCGACGGCGGCGGCAGCGGCTGGCAGCTGTTGTGCCAGTGCAGATTTAGTGGTGCAACCGTTGCTGCCGCTGCTTTCCTGTTGCTGCTGTTGTTGATGCTTCTTCACTTCGGCACCGAGGGGGAGATGGGGGGTAGGAGTAGAAGGAGGAGGGCGATGAGAAGAAAGAAGTAGACGTCGTTGTCGCAGTCACCGTAGCGGTTGTTACCGCAGTCGTGGAAGGTGTAATAGCGCGCCAAAGATGCCATCGAGCTTAGATGACCGGGGACCCTGATGGAGGGCAACGAACACCAACGCCGCCAGGCGGTAGCAGCAGCTCGATGAGGAGGCCGTAAACGAAATACGGTCACAACAAACGCCGCGGTGGGTCACAGCTGCATGCACAGGACCGGCCGCATCCTTTGTGCCAACGCTAATGGTATCAGTACCAGCAGCACCGTTGCCAGCTTTACGCTTAGCATTATGCTCTATGTCTGTGACATTTAGCACGAGATGTAGACGAGCTAGCGAATCGCTAAGCGGAGCTCGAGCACCTTATAAATAAGAGATGTGTATCTAACTGATGCTTCGCGTTTCTGTCTGGGTTCGTGCAACCCCCATTACTGCCACGCCATTGGCTACGGCGGTGGCGGCAGGATCCGCTGTGCTGATGCTGTTCAGAGTTAATGCCGGCTTAGAGGTCTAGTACGAAGCGACAAGCAGCAGTGTCACATGTTTTCCCACCCTGGGAACATCGAGGCCATCAACTCATATTTTTTTCCTGCCAGTTTGACTTGGTATGAACGGAAGGGGGACACTACGATCAGTCTTCTGATATTTTCGAAGCATCGTACAAATATATTGACAGGACGTCTTGTGGTTGTGTCTTATAGCTTCGCTCATACAGAGCTTCCGTCACAAATAATACTAACACCCAACCGATTATCTAAGCTTAGCGAGTTGTAAAGCATAAGTACATGAAACTTAGCGTTTCATTTTTCGACATTTAGCCCAAGTGCAGTAAGAGACTGAGGATATGTTAAAGAGATGCGTAGAGCTACGAATAAAGATGTGTGAGATTCAGCAAAACCGATTGGGTTGTTATGTAGCATTGGCGGCATCCACTCGAACTTTTGCTTAATTAAGTTGAATGAAAGAAACAATGATATCTAAACGCGTTCCACAGCAGTAAAACACACCTTATTCATTCAAAGACGTCGGTATTCAAACCAGTTTTTACAGGTAGAAAAAAAGATCTTTTACCTTTTAGTTGCTTTGTTTCGTTAAGTATAGAGAGAGATTTTCTATGTCTAATTTCTGTAAAAATCAACGAACTTTAAAAATCAAAGATTTTTTGATTTATTATTTAGCCCATATAATCATCCATGTTAATTACAATATCAAGTTATTGTATTTACTCTCCTCAAATGAACGAAAGACAAATTTAATAGGCTGTTTTTTTTGTTTGAATCAACAGCGAAATAGGGCCTTCTTGAAGGTGATTTCTGCCATATGATTCGGCATATGCAGTTTCCCCCAAAGATTTATACGCAAGGTGTGATTTTTCACTAAAAAACATTTTATGACAGAGTTACATGCTATATATATCCGGAATAGAATTTCAAAAAAGTCGAATGAAGCATGTACTCAATTACGATTTACTTATTTGCAAGTACAACCTAAATATCAGTTGGCACTATACTCTTGGTGTATCGTAGATATTCTTCAAGTTTGTCCGAGGCGATCGTAATCGTGTTACTGAGATCGGCGCGCGTTTCAGCCGCGATGATCGCCAAGATAGACATGCCGTACGGGCGACTCGCCGCTGCTACTGGACGTGCAGGAATTGCAACAGTATCAGACGTTATTTGTTCAAGGTATGATGAAGGGTTTCCCCTCACGACGAAAAATTTTCCTACATCCGAATTTGGTAGTTCCAGATTCGCCAATAGGCGTCTGGGTTTTCGCAACTTTCCTAGTGGAGGTCGTTTGCCCCGAGAGGGAGGTAGACGCAGAACTGTCGGTAGTTGAGCAGTATCTCCATAGAGATGACGGACTCGATCCCTTTTACTAACTCCTGGTTCCTCCGTACACTTGAAGTCATCCAAAATTTCCTTTTCATTAAAAGTCGTCGATGATGTCTCAAAAGTGGCACAGTCGTCCAATTGGGCTGAACTATGACCACGTACATCGGTGGGTCTTTGGTAACATCTGCTTAGCTTTGAGGAAGAATCTGCCCTCACGTCCATAGTAAATTATACTAGGTATCAACAGCAGGTTGCAAACTGTGTCTACGTCCCGGGAACGAAGTTGATCACTTCAACAATGGGCAACTGAAAAAAGCAAAATATCGGTCGAGTTTTTATGATACCAATACCGGTGACATTTTTCATTTATAGTGCCTTTATAATTCTGTTACAAATTAATTTCGGTTGGACCAGTAGACCCAAATTAAATTAAATTAAATATATTATTTTTAGAATGTAAATAGATAAATAAAAGATCTTAAACATCAGGCTACTAAAAACGAATCGGGCGGATTGTAAAACTGGATAACTTTTACATTATATGGTGCTAGCACATGAAATTTGCTTGGGAGGTACCCCAGTCTTCTCGAAACTTATGGATGAGAGGTGATCGGTTTCACTGTAGGAAAAATAAGTTCAGACGGAAAATACCCTTCAGTCTTAAAAACCAATGTTTAGTAGCCAAATTTTTGCTACTGGAAAAACAGAGCGCTTCGCGAATTTGTCAACGATTGGTGAAGATATTTGGCAATACAGCCTAATCCGAAAGCATAGTACATGAACTATGCGAAATTTGAAAAAGGAGACTGGAATAAGGCCAGTAAGAATCCGATTAACTGCCACAACGAAGGAAGTTTTCTCACAATAACAGGGTCTGAGGCCTAAGGGTTCCGTCGTCTAAAATCGGCATTCAACATGTGACGTGTCACAAAATTAGAACATAACTACTGAAAATGCGGAAACTAAGTAAAAAAATGAGTTCTTTATGAACTGACTACAGGCCAATTGGAAATGCGTGCGATGTATTCCACTTGCGATTTGCGGAACTTTAATCAACAAAAAAGTAGCACACGGGCCCCATAGACGAAGAAATAGCTCAACCTCTATCGCCGGCCGCGAAGGGCACAAGCGAAAGAATAGTGGCGCTCTGGGGGAACTTTACTTCGGTGGCAGAATTGAGTTAATTCGGATATAACCTGGCGGCAGTATTTATAACGGACATCAGTGGCATCCGCTACTAAAAGGTGCTCGTCAAAAACGAAATAATGAATACAGTCTGCTAGCTCCAATTATTCAGAAGACTCATAAATCATTGGTACGGCAATTGAAAGCACGCAATCTGATTCTTTCATGACAACGTCAGACCTCATTGCCGTGCTGCGTGCATCATCCTGAATTGAGCAAATAAATATCTAACCTTAGCTCACCGATTCTTTTGATCTCATCCCGTGTCGTTACAGGGCTTTAAAAAAAGAACTGATGGGAAGCACGTCCCACTATCGATTAACTTCGAGAAGCCATTGATGTGATTGAAAAATCACGTATAGAAACGCGAATGATGGCGCTGGCACCAGCGGGAGAAAGTTAAAGGAGAATATTTCTAATATATTAAATCATGGTACCAGCCCCACTAACTCAAGAAGTTCTTCATTTCGAAGTATGCCGGATTCGCTCGTAACGGCCGAACAGCTTAAAGAAATGTTTACCGACCTTCTACATTGACTTTTATACAATGCCAACGACTCAACAGTGTCCAATCAGTTAAGGTGCATTTTGCGGTAGGGCAGTTCGGGTAGGAAGACTTTCGAAGGCGATCAACCTTAAGTTTGCAATTTGCATTACGTACTAACTAACAAGGTACACCAAACATCTGCCTCAATATGAACGTTTAAATTATGACCTAGGAAATTATTAGACAATAGCTTTTTTAAGATCTACCTCTGCGCCCTACATACAAAACGGACTAGACGCCATTTTAGTTCACAGTATGGATCGATCGAATCTTGACATAAGTGTACGAGGTCAAACTTGCTCTTGGGGAAACGTATCTTCCAGTTTACAGATCCAGGCCACCAGATAAGACGCAGTTTCCAACAACGCGTCTACCGAGGACTGCGAATTTGATACATTGAGCAGATTATGATACACAACGAAATAACATTCTGTTCTAACATATTGTTCATAGAAATGTATAGAGAAGTGATCAAAAACTACATCCTGTGGAGCAACGATGTCTGAAAAACGCGCGGAATATTCACTTTTAGTTTAAATCATCATGGTATGTATTTACACGCATAATAAATGTATGTGCAAGCGAAACCTGCTCTCTTACAATACACTCCACATACGCTGGAAACCTATAGAATAGACCTAAGCTTCATCTTGTAGACTCGTGAAATTGATTTGATTCATATACAGGGTGTGACAAAAAAATTAAATATTTATCGATAGTTTTCAGTTGTGTAGACTTCACTTCTCAAGCTCGTTTTCTTATGACGTTGCGAATCCAGTCGTCGAAGTAATTATTCTTATGATCTGGTACTCTTGTCACTTACCGGACATCTCGCTGATACCCTTGCGATAACTATTTAATGCTCGAGAATAGGCTTACCACTAACGATTTTGATTGGCGAGAGTCTGAAGAAACCAGTCGCAATAGATCAGCCAGCCGCCTGGGAGAGAACCTGCCAAGCCAGCAATATGGCTTCTCTTTCTCTCAAAACTATGGAAAGACGAGCGTTACCATGCATCTAGATCACTTTTCGACGACTTCCTTGGCCCATAAACGACTTCTCTTGCACATGGATAGCACGATACTTTTGCAGGTATTTTAATTTGACGTCTCAGACATAACAAACAGGTAAAACGTTATAGAGAACAACAAGTGCTGTCCAGTTCTGCAGGACTGTCTGGAGATAAATCGCTGAGTGGCTCCCTACCACTTCCTAAAACCCCAAAGTAACCGTTGAAACATTGATATTTCATCAATGTTTCAACGGTTACTCCATATACAGTGACTTCAGAAATACGGTGGAAAGTTTATGTCAAATGTGTCAAAAAAACTCGTTTTGAGATACTGAGCCACTAAATGAACTATGTCACCTATAGAATATAACCCGAAATTCAATTTCAAGAAATAATTTTCAATTTTTTTTAATTTTTATTTAAAATTTTCATTTGTTATATTTAATTTAATAATAAAAAAGATTTTCCGTTTACATTACCAATTGACCAGTAGAAAAAAATAGTTTTTTTGTTTTTAAGAATAATGTGAAGTGCAGAAGTAAGCTAATATTAAGAAAATAAATGTTGGAGTTGGTTTTCTTTACAAAGAAACAAGGCTCCAGTAGAGTTTTTCAAACAAGGTCGCATTTATTGAGTAATATCACTCTGTCAGTAAGAGCTAATTGCCGGAACTACTTAATTTACATACTTCCACTTGAGATGCAGGACAGTGACGAGGTCTGGGTGGCCCGTGATATCATGATGATATCGCTGGGAACTGTGACGCTTCTATCAGTCGCGTTTATTGAACCCTTTGTTATCGTCGACGGATCTCTGGGCTCGGTAGGATCCTGACCGAAACAGATTTTATTGGCTCCCAATATTCGTTTCGATCCAATCAATCCTTTAAGCTTTGGCACGTCGACCTTCGACGGGATACTGCCGGCGTTGAGTTCGGGGGAACTAGACACGAACGTGACATTCTTACTGGATTGTTGTTTCACGGTACGTTGATTGTTTTGTTGCTGGCGACCTCGAGCGCGGGCCCGGTTCATCCCACCTAGGGTACGCGCAGCAGCTGCCGCGCCGGCCCTTCGATCGGTGGAGACAGGTGAGTTGTCATTGATGCTGCATTGCGAGGGGTGCCTGTTCGGCCTGATGCACCCATGCCGCTGATAAGCCTGCAATGCGCGCCTGCGTCTTCGACTAAATTCACATTCACATATATGCGCATCTATGCAAACACAAACTATAAGCGTAACAGTATCAATACGCGATTTGTACTCGCTGATTCAATTAGTCCAGTAGCGCAAATGACAAACCTCAGTTGAGTAAAAATGAGGACAGAATTACTTATATAGTGGTAATGGTGACAATACACCTACATATGCGTGAGGTTGTATAACGATTTAAAAAAATGTTTTTACGAGTAACGTGGCAACGATCATACCCACTTTTGGAGCGTCTGATCCTCATTCAAATGTTAACATTGTCATGTTATAGTACAGCTCAATTTATACAAAGCATGGATGACGCTCATTTAAAAAAAAAAAACGCCCAAAAAAGGTAACCCAATTTTCTATTGAGACGATCCAAGTACGGGTTAATAAATCAATAAACAGTGAGCTAGATACAAGGAGACTTTCCACTATCCCTGTTACTGGTACTCGTGTCAGGTTTTCGCCATATTCTGTGTTCTTTGATTCACGTATTACGGCGAAGTCGACACTGGATAACAGCTGTTTAATAGCGCACCATCAACATTCTACGGAATATTGTTGTCTTTACAAAAGAATTCCATAGCCGGATTTCTGGATATGTCACCTGGCTAGCAAATAGTGAAAACACGTTAGCTTATCGATTAGCGTGTTACTACCAATCACGCTGCAGATCAACGTATAGATTTCTATCCAAATATAAAAAAATCCTTACTGAGCCCAGGCAGATACAATTCTCATGTCTCCTTTCGACGATGGCCGAGACGCATAAACGTTTCGCGAGCTACCTCTATTGCCATTGCTGCTAATCGCCGCCGTTGTATGATCCACCAGCATCGAGGTGTTTGTGAACGGGAATCTGTTTTCATTTGGAACACAAATGAGCAATATACAAATGATCCTTTCACCTTCGAGGCACCGACTCGCTTATTGTAGATCATATGTCCATACAGATCATAATCTACATCGATACATTCCACTTGCAAGCCTGTTCTAGGTAGAGTACTTCGGATGTTAACTCGTGTCCTGACAACATTAAGGTGACACTTTGTTGCCGGTGTTTCGATATGCTTTTAGGGCACCTCTTTCCTTGGACTACATAATTGAGGCGTGAAAACAGACCACCTAGTTACCCTGTCTAAGAAGCCTGAGGGGAGTCCCTCTTATCACCGACCTTACCTATACTATGTGAATAGATTGCCTACTTAGTTGAATTGTGTTACATTCCAACTGTATGTGTCATGTCCGCATAATTTTTAATGAAATCATCTATATTCTAACAGCCAGCTAGGAAGGCTAATTAATCAACTCATGTAGAAGGCATCAATCCCTGTTACCTTCTGGGAGGATCGGTCTGCGTCGAGCGAGAGTCCGTAAAGAATACACGTTTGGAGTCGATCCGGCGCTCATTGCTGGCTGAAGTTACTAGTTGAGGGAAATCATTAGAGTCATTCGGCATTCTTTCAAAAACACTTCGTTATTCCCATTAATTTACTAACGTCTATTCGCTTAAAAGACACAATACGAAATGCCGTGGAGCCTTTTTCTGAGGTTGTCCTGAAAAAAAGTGACTTACTCTATAATTCTTGACTTTTGGACACGACGAACACCCACATCAGGATCCCAGTCACCATGAGATGCAACAATATCCTTTGTGCCAATGCTTTCGAGTTTAAGTGCCAGTTACGTTTTCAAATGAGCACTTAGATGCCTTTTCTGATTAGTTAGCGCTTAGCGAAATCTTCCTAGCGAAGAAGAACATGATTTACTGAGGCTTTGATAGCCTACTATCCCAGTTCAATGAATAAACAGCAATTTCAAAAATATTAGATATTCTTTATAAATATTACATAAATCTAGAATCATTTTATGAATGTAGCCACTGATGAATTTTAAGGTATCTACGAATCCTAATTATCGAAGTAAAACCTCAGAAGCAACGTTCGTTTGAGGTTCAAAAAGGTCGTTTAGTATATCTTTCTTTTCTAGGTAATTCATAGAACGTGCTTGAACTTGTTGTGGGAAATAGGGTTGCGTATGTTAAGCAAAGATAGGAGAGACTCGATTATTTTGGTAGCAAACGTGAGCCCGTTTTTCAGTCTATTTAGTTGTGTCTCGGTGTCGACCTGGCAGACCTCGAGTTTTACGGTCATGGGCATTCTTTGTTTCTGCACGAAACGAACCGCGTATTGCCCTGTGCTCGGGTTCGAGCCTAGACCACAACGATTAGAAGGCAATACGTTACCTACTAAGCCATCACGGAGACAACTCCGGTTGAAAAACATTTTGTAGCTGTGTCCTAGTGTCACGTATGTATTTTTATATGGAGCACGTTTATTTTCACGCTATTCTAATTGCATAGCTTATCACTTTCACTAGCCTTGTTTCGCACAAACATGATCTATCAACATGACACACCGGATAAACTAACGGAAAAATTATCTTATGCTGATTTGTGCAGTTCTCTATTTATTAGAACTAATTTAACTTAATTTGGTAAATAAACAGCATGACTGTTGTATGGTAATTACGAATAACTATTTTTTTTTCTAACCGAACAAATTATTTAAACATAATTCTTTAGTTAGAAAATTTTTTATGCTATAGAGTTTTGATACTTTCCACCACAGGACCAGGTGAAATAGTGAATCTGTGGGGAACCAAACTCAGTTCTCTTCTACCGCATCCGTTGCTCCATTGATTGATAGATGTAATAGCACTTTACTAATAAAGGCATCCATAGACATATTTCTTTCGGTGATAACCATATCAACGCCTCCTAGAGATTTCTTGCTACTATATTTTCTCTCAGTCAAATAACAACAAAGCTTAATGACGTGACCCTTCCGGTGTAAGGACACGTACTGAGGTGTTCCACACTTGGTTTTCGTAGGTGATTTTTTCTGCTCAAAATGCTTTTAGGAAGTGAATTTTGAACAGCCTGTTAAATATTAGTTCACGAAAAACAGACCCGGGTACGTCGAATGAAAAAAGTCCAAATGGCATAGTGTAAACGAGGTTAATTATACTGTTACACTTTACAGTAGAAAATCGTGAAGCAGCATAGGTTCAGTCAAGCTAGCGCTTTCAGATGAACGAGACTGAGAGGCGCAGGAAACACGAAATACGTTATATACAAGAACAGAAGTTTTTCTTCACAAAGCTGTTACATGCAGGAAGAGACAAGTTTTCGTTTTTATTGCTTGTAAAAAATCGTATAGAGGTATATGTATGCACGGTGTGACCTCTGTAAAGGGACAGTGATCTGCGTTGTAATGGGCTGGGTTCTGGGGTACTTTGTATGGAAGCAGACCCGCCCGTTCGTTAACGAGTAAGTAGCTTTCATGGTTACTGTTTCGTTTCATCGATTTTTTGTATTGGAAATATTGCTAGTATACTGGTCACGGTGCTGCAAAACAGCCCAGATGAATCTGCTGATATTTTTTGTCGTTACACTATGACTATGGTTAGCGCAGAAAGTTTAGTGAGTCGTAATTGGTTCACATGCGACCAGAATCCGTCTATTAGTAAACTAGCCTGAGAACAGGTGACTGCAGGACCATATTTTTGAAACGACGAAAAATTTTAGGCGCTGGCATTTGTTTGATTGCTGCCCGATCGCGCTGATGCTTTTCGATGACAGGACACGGTAAAATAGGTGAACTGAATTAGTTTTTGAAAAATGTCTTTCTTTCAATTCATTCTTTAATCGTAGACTAGGCGTAACTTCAGAACGTCTTTAAAGCTTATGAGCTGACGCACTTAACGTTAAATACCTTGAATTCTTGCAGTCGATTTGAATATTCGTTTGACATCGTCAGCTACAATAGAACCGCGTAATTTCAAAGTATTCTAGAAGTAGATGCTGAAGCTGTTTTGGCAAAAAGAAGAACCTTGATGACTCGTAATGAAATAAACACTGTCATAAGGCCAAACTAAGCTTTTGACAACCGGCACGTCGAGACGACAGATGCTTCTACATTTCTTTAGCTCTTTCACTTTACACCATCAGCCAATTAGTCAATACGGCCTATCTAAAAATAAAGTTCGTTAACATCAGGAACACAGAAAATCTGGTCATTTTTTGTCCGAATGCCAAGGCAAACCATGACCGTTTGATTTTTTGCAATGCCTTTATGATGATACCTTTTTGTCGCTAAGAACAGAGTCTTCGAATGCGTGACTAGACTCTTGCGATCATTTCTGTAGCAATCTTTTATTGTATTTCTTTTACATCCTTCCAAGCCTTTACTATTATTACTTTTTTTTTTTCTGCTCTGCCAAGACCCACAAAATTTTATCATGTTAATTCTAATTTTACCCACAGGCTCAACGTGTAAAGTTCATTTGCCTACTTGCAGTACTCTATCGTATCAGCTGTTCGTAGTGCAAGGTAAGGCCTCTGGAAGCGCTGCTAGTGGAGTGGCTAGTCAAGCAAATCCGTACGTCCTTGATTAGATTAACATTTCTTAAAATCTAGTAGGTTTACAAGTAACATCTACAGGTTGAGTACTTGACGTCTCAGTCCCGTCTGAATTGAACAGGTGAGATAATATCATGCTTGTTCGAAGACGCAGCGGGCAGCCCAAATCTCTCTTCGGGCAGGTGTTCGGGGTCGCTTTGTACTGGACATGCTTATCGAGTGGCCGAACAACAGAACGATGGTAATCGATTAGAGTGTAGTCTGACATGTAAAAGTAATGGTAGCTAATTATTGCTTATGTCTAGCAAAAGGGTATGATCTGCTTTATCGAATCAATGCTTTTGTACCCTTCATCTTGCTACGTTCATAGATCGTCGTTACATACTGCCGCTGAATGTTTGATATGTCGATTTAATCTACTGTATTCTAATCGTTTTTATGGTACTGTTAATGTATACTGCAAAATGAATGTTCTGTATATGTAATTTTTTTTTAAAAATAGGCGACCTTCGCTTGCAGAATTAGTATGCCCTTCATAGCCGACACAGTCCACTGCTCGAGTAGGTCAGATCACAGAACCGTGCTCGGGAAATCTACATTCATTTTCCTAGTCTCAATATGAGCTGTTCCGGTCATTCGGTGGAACTACCCAAGGTATACGACGGTAACGAGACCCTAGATAACGGTGTTCTCCGAATAGGCGGAACCTCGGTACGATTTTAAGGCCATAGTAACAGTAAGCGATACTTAATGTGAAAGTAGAATAGTTTGTATCTTTCGTCGTTATATAAATCATGTCAATATCTGCTGTTTAATTGGTTACTTAAACTATTTACGTTATGAACGGTCCAATTAATGGTGTTTTGCAGAAAAAGTAATTCGAAAATACCTATAGGCAAAGTTCGTAAACACGACCACAGCGCATACAACGTTGCAAAATCTAGAATTTAGTTCGTTAATAAGATTTTTTGGTTTATTGATACAATTGTTGACTCTTCCGAGCGGCACGGGATGCAAATTGTGACCAACCTTTTGGTAAGTATTATTTGGCTTAAGCAATAAATGCTTCTGTTACGGCTATTAATTTCTTACTTTTTGTAGAACGCGAGCGGTAAAAGCTTCGAGCACGTACTTCTGTCTGCATACAAGTTACAAAATTTCTCCATCTAGATAGATCTTAGGCCCCTGTCTAGGCAGGGCGACCCATTTCAAACAAAATAAACGAACATTATAGCCCATCGGTTAGCACAGACCAAAAATTATATGTCTTTAGTTGTACTTTTCTCTTTTTAGCAGTCAAAAAGAATATACATACATACATATATATTCAAATGGATCTTGTTCTGGTGGACATATTCAGTGTAACTAGTTTCCGCCATACGCGCAATGGACAGATCTCGGAGACACAGTTCGCGTTGATGGACCCCTTGTAATTTTTATCGAGGTGATAGCACGTTTCCTTAGGGCAAGGTAAGTGACAGATTCGAAGAAGTTATACTTATCGAGTACTATACATAATTTAAATACGCACGAGCAAAGTTGAAAAATATCCATCTTATAGCGCTACCTTTGGCGTAAGATTTTTATAAAAGCGGACTTGAGAAAGACAGTCGTTGACATAGATCCTCGTAACTTTCGTAACTGGGCAGCGCTCCAGGTTCCCGTACACATCATTCAGTTAAAATAAAAAATGCATGAGAGGGAATACATTCAATGAGACTTGGAATCGTTCCAGACCCGTCGTGGCCACGCCTATTGGATTGCCTTACGGCGCGTTGCAGAAGAACGCAACGTTTAACGGCGTTCTTGGATACCTAGAGAGAAAAGTTAGTTTAATTAGAACTATACCACAACAGAACTCCTTACTTTATTACATAGTTTATAATCAAAGGTAGGGTATGCATATGCTTTCCTATTTTATGATTTGTTTAAGATGATCATATGCTGTAATTGTTGGGTTGATGATTTGGGATAAATGAGCAGCCAACAAGCTAGACAGCCATTCAAATTCGTCAGAGTGAAACCTGTTACTGTTTATAATGAAAACCGTTATTTTTATAGTTTGACTTTGATAAGTATAAACTTCGACGCACTGAGGCCTATGCTTACCGCTAGTGTGCGGTAAATGAAAAGTACTGCTGACATTTTTAGACTATTTAATCGTCGTACGCCTGCACCGTCAGCTAGATTCACTCGATTTTCCCCGCCCCAGCGCCCAACAGGCTAGGGAAGCTGGGCCAATACGCGAGGTCAAGACAAAATACATTAGCGTTACGATGTTTTCGTTGATACTGGTGTCTTTTAAGTGGGCGAGTTCTCCTTCGACCATAGCCTTAAGAGCGAAAGGTCACATACGTGTTATTTTAGCCTTGCACATTAAATAAGTTCGCTGATCTGCAAACGTTTAGTGATATAATCGCTACTAGTGTCATTAATATACTGGTGCCTGTAAAATGTTTACAAAGCGGTGCGTTACAACAGGTCAAACTTTTCGCTTCTATAGATATCTGGAAGATCTGTTCAATTCTACTATGTTTGATGCCACACATTACATTATAGAATCCTTCGTGATTCTCGTCTTGGTTATAATCGTTTACATATTTGAGGCCGACGAAACAAATATCGCACAAACGCATACAACACTAGCTAGGACACTGTCGGACACTTTCAATAAGATCTTGTGTGAAAAAATGTAGGGTGCCTTCTTTCTAAACACAGCGCCGATTTCTGGAAAAAAACGAGGGTTAAATCAGGCGGCGCCGGCCAGGAACCAGCGATGGTACGGTTAGAATAAGACAAACCGTGCGGCGTAGCACTCTATCTTAGCGCTATTACCCTCTGAGACACTTTGGGTGTCCGGACCACTCACTCGAAATTTTATTATCAAGGTCGGCCGAAGACTGACCCAAATACTTGGATGCGAGCTTTTTTGTGGAAATTTTTGACAGTATGATTCCTCTCGAACCCCATACCAAGATCACAGCGGAAACAACCTAGTTATGGCATACTTACCAAATACACAAGTATGCATAGTGTGGGAAAATATTTGAATATAATTCGATACTTGTCGCTAGCAGTACTACATGCTTCGACAAGAAAAACGGACTCTTATTGCATTGTGGGCAAAATCAGCATTTTAGTAGCGACCAACTTGATAAATCCTTAGGAACACTAATACTTAAATAGCTCATGACTCTTAAAATTAATCATGTTTTTGAACTGTGTGCAAAACTATATCTCTGGCTTTATACTATTAGAAGGTGGATATTATGGTCAATCCAGTTATACCAAGCGTTGATCGTCATGGTCGATTCGATTTCTCCGCGCCTTTTACAAGAGAGAAGTTCCGCTTCTTTACCATCAAGCCCGCCACATTCATCCACCCCTGGGGTTTTGTACGTGCATTCGAGCTTCCTGTGTGGCAAGTTATTATATGGTTTTTATTTATAGTTAAGAAAATAGATGTATCGTGAGCGATTCATAGGTGGTAATTTCTCTTTTTTTTTTTCTTTTTAATAAAATCTAGGGCATTTAAAAGACCTCGCCAGATTGGAAGACCTCCGTGCATTAGAATGGTTACGGACAAAAATATCGTTTGATTATAATAAGATCCATATATCGAGTATATTGTATTGGTCTTGCTATGATGAATCTATATAAGCTTCGCGGAATATCTCATAGTTGCCGCTAAATATAGTCAAGTGGTCTGTATTGCAATAAGGCGAACCACCTAACCTAAGTAGTTGGAGGTATAACGTAAAAACAATCAGCATTTGTCTACCTCTTCCCTTGCTATTATCGTCAGAGTAAAACGCTTTTCCTTGGACAAGTATATGTTCCATCAAGAGAAAATTAAAATTCTTTTAATTTGGGTAGTAGTTTCTCTATCATTACCTGGCAACCGCAGTTTTTAACACTAAAATCACTTGTAGCTCTTGTCGTTACAAGAGCAGTTTACAATCTTAGCAGTAGCAGAGGAGTATATGGAAACAGATAGTAAATTGTAGATGTAACCCATGTCTATATCGCATAAGCTCGCGGTTTACACGATATGCTAATAATAAGAGTAATCTCTTTTGCTTTGTAGGTTTTTCATATTGGGCACGTTCTTAGTCTTGCCCGTTTGTTCGGCTTTTCTACGCAAGCTCGACCGAAATCTGTCGCGTCTCAATTCCGAGGGAAATACTCGTGGCGTATTTGGATATCTCTGGTTTTGGTTTGCCAGAATCTTTCCGCAACGTATGTTACCCTTTCATTTTCAATAGAAGTAATGTCTAATAGATGCGTCGAACTGATCGGGGTAGCAATCATCGATCAATAATTATCGTTTAGTACTGAAGGTGTTTTTCGAAAAATCTGAATTTATAACCTGTGTTACTATGCCGAATCTTTTTTCAGCGGATTTGACACCGCGTGTATTGTGGTTGCGAGTATCCGCAGCGCTGTTTATGTTGCCTATGACCTATATGGTTATGAGATCCCTCGAAGCGGAGTTAAAGCGTAGCCTTTTGTTCAAGAAAGAGGCGGATTATGCAAATTATTTTCCAGATATATTGCGATTTCATCAAATGCGTATTATCAGTGAGAAAAATTCAATGGGCACCGCCATGTTTACACGCAGTCAAGACCCGTTAATGATGAAGCTGGCCAAACGACTCGACGAGCGTGCCGGTGTCCTCGCTGGGGACAATTTCGAATCACTCATAAAAAACATTTTAGAGAAAAAAGTAAGCTTCTGTATTTCGTATGGGACTGCTATTGACCGTAATGCTACTCGCACGTCATCTCGTACCACAACACTTGACAATACCAGTTACTAATATAGCTACTATCAGCATATATTATGGTGTCCGCTCGATATCTGGTTTGAGCCAATCTAACTCCTTTAAGATTCCTCGAAAGCTTAGCGTCAGGACTATGGACAGGAAAGGATTTTGAACGCTATGAAAATAGGCATTATTATTATTGTTATTTGACATAGGCTGTGGTCGTTACTACTGGCCTAGCGGTGAAACTGAGGATCAGCATACTCGCTCAGCAAACTGGACGTTGTCCTGGCGTCAGATCAAGCGATGGCTCCATATTTCCCGTTACTCTGACAATACCGATTGGTCTTCATATACAGAAACACGTTCGAGATCGCATTCAAAGCGCGTGAGTAGACCCTGCACCTCTCGCATTCCTAGGATTTGTGTTTTAGGCACTGTAAATTCAAACGTTCATCGTGAGCTAGGAATCTCCGAATGATTTCCTTCTATTCGTCTACCTATTATTTACTGTACTAATGTATATTGCATTGGGCTCTCCGTTGATCTTTCCGACAGCGTTCTCCGAGTAGCTGAATCAGCGACCTTCCACCAAAAGCTTCATTGTCAACTCGAATATGCCAAACGATGTGGTACACGACATCGCGGAGAAGCGGAGCCTATGAAAGCTTTGCATATATCCGATCTTAAAGGCGTTCTTTACCTATTCGCTATTGGGATCGCTACCTCCATGCTGGCCTTCGCGGCCGAACTTCCCTTCCCGCGTATTCGACGATTTTTTTCTACGTCTAGCAATGAGAACCGTGTCTAATTTAGAGCTATTTTGATTTATGTACCCCTTGTAAACCGAAGGGAAACTAAAGACGGTGAAATTTTTTTCTACTACCGTCGGAGATTATCGTATTGAATATGTTTTTACGTGATGAAACCAATGCTAAGATAAATCATTATCAGTATCAATATAATGTTTATAGTCAAGCAAAAGTGCTTCTATTTTAGCTGGCTGATTTGCGCAAATATTTGTTCGCATATTTAATTATCAGGTCATAATCTTACATGATAGACCTTGCAGAAAAAATGTGCAAATAAAATATCAATACGAGTAGAATTTGTTAAAAAATGCGTGAACGTTAAAAATAAAGATTAATTAAATGAACATAATAATTAAACGAAAGTATTTCCTGTTGGAAGTACACGCGATGTCCCATCTACTTGAGACGTACTTTCGTTACATGATCATCCAGTCACTCCAGCTAAGAGTGTCAACTCGGTCTCAAGTCACACACACACACACACCACATATATGCATAGATATCTAGCATGGAACTTAGCCCAACCATTAAATAAGGTAAGTTATTATCAATTACAACGTGAATAATTCAAGTTGTCGTAGTTATCAACAGATGGATAATTATTTTTCGTAACATGCAACGCTCGTTACATGCCACACTCACATGGCATGATTAAGTGCCGTCATCGGCTGATTTTTTTTGTGATGTACTTTGCACAGGGGATAGGTCTGTGAGGGTTTCGTGCATGTTTTCTGCAGGCTACGAACACGCATAAATAACATGGGCCTTGTTATGATCTGGCCTAAAATGACCACTTGAGCCTTTATGATGAGCTCTTTGAGCTCCCGTTAAGCGTGTGGATCGCCAAAAATCGATACGAACAATAGAAATAACTCGAGTGCCTTTAGGAATAGAAGGGTAAGCTTCGATCAACGAGGTACGATCTGCGTCAGTTAACCAATGATGTTGCAAGCAAATTGTATTGTAGATGTTGTTTTACTCGTGTTCCCAAAACTGCTAGTGCCTCACTTGTCGGGTCGGTATGTTTTTCATAACTTACTTAAAGCAGGACCGTTTTTCGATCTACGCTCTGCAAATCTCCCCTAACGACTTTAGGTTCAATATTAATTGTTCAAGTTTGATATCTAGAGCATACGATGATAAGGAGACGTTTGGTGACGGTGTTCTCCGAATTAGAATTGTGCAACTTCAATACAACTCTATAACTATAATAGTAATGAGCGATCCTTACAATGGAGGTAGTGCTAAGTACAGCCAGTAACTGCAAAATGGTCCAGTCTTATTAACAAACCAAGTTATGTCCCCTGTGTCTATTATATAACTTCCATTTTACCAGTTAATTTACTCAATTTTATCTGTGAGTTTTGCTGAGCATTTCCATATATATATATATATATATATATATATATATATATATATATATATAGAAGTAAAGTTCGTATAGAAAACCCATACAGCGTAATGACGAACTACGCAACTAAACCTATGATAGGTCATGTTCTTAGTAGAATCTAACTGATCCTGACGTTGAGACGCTTAGTAGCATGGACTGCATATTGTGATTAAAATATTTATATTTTCTAAGGATACTTATAATGGCTGTGACACATTATAAAATAAAGCACGGTAGTAGAAGCTCTGAGCACGGGCCTCCTTGGTTTGTCGACAGGCGGTGGTTTCTCCCGCTAGATAAACGGTCTAACACCTCTGCTCAGACAGAGTAGACCAGAAATAAACTAGCATCTTAATCCGTTATAAATATAATAAAATAGTTTGCACTGTAATGACATCCCAGCTATGTATTAACAGCTCGATCATAACCTAGTGGGTAACGTATCCAGCTTCGAACCCGGGCATACCCAGATAGTTCGTTTCGTACTGAACGCCAGCGTCTGACGGACCGTCTAACGGCGATATTGGATGTAAAACAGGAAGTGCTTAGTTATTTCTTATAATACTTGTAAATATCATTTATTGTATTGTTTGATGTGACCTGTTAAATTTTGCGACGAGCTTTCGTGTGTACCTGGGCCAGTTGTCGTTCAGCAAACGCTCCATTCCTAGCTGAAACTTTCTCATCAACATAATTCGCAGAAGTGGGGAGTTACTTGATGAATTCGATTTAAAAAGGTGACGTTTACCTGTTTGCTATTGGATTTGCTACTTCTATTCTAGCTTTCGCGGTCGAACTCCTCTCTGCGTGCCCAACGAGCTTCTTCTATGCGTAGCAGACAGACCCATGCCCAGTTCATTTTATAAGACCGTTTAGCCTACAGTAATCTTTTTCCTTTTCATAATTGATGAACATTTCTCAAACGTTATATACCTCTATGTTCTTTTTATAAAATTACAAATTTTATTTACGAATGAAAAACTGATTGGTCTGTGTGTGGGTTCTTAAATTGCTAACTGGTACATCCATGTGTTCTTCGGCATAAATATTCAATGTGTTATTACTTCACAAAGGTCATAATAAATGTTTGTCTTCAGTCATTATAATGTTTAGTAATTAAGTAGTTCGATCTTTCCTCCTAATATAATTTAGTCGAACGGTTTTTTAAAGCCCATTTAGGCAAGTAATCATTCGCGTATTTGACTGTCATAATGTTATCTGATAGCGGTGAACGTTGCATTGACGATGTAAGTAAGAGAAAAAATCCGATTGAAAAAGGAAAGGATATTAAAAAAAAATGTCAGCTTAGCATTTTTAAAAATATCTCATTTCGTCTTCAGCAGGTGCATGATTCCTTCTTCGGCATGGGGAATGGCGCTCATTTTATGTAAGCAAAGTGAGAAAATGGTCACAAATTACTCATTTGCATCAACCAGGTACAATTTGTAGGTAAAGCTAGTCGATGTTACGGTGGTAGATTCTGTTGTCCTTGTTGACCGCTTCCATTGATCCTGTGCCCAATTGAAATACATTGTTGTTTAGTGTTTGTCTTCATTATACTGCTAAGGCGGCAAAATTAATTACGTAGTCTTGGTTCGCTTGTGACTCAGAGTAATTTTAATGTTTGACAAAACACGCTATCTCAATAAAACTGATTATATATCTATACTCTGTAACTGCTCGTTTACTTTGTTCGGCTTAATATGAACTGTTCAAGTTACTTGAGGACGCTACGCAGCAAAGGTAACAAAGACGTTGTTCTCATAATTATCGGATATTCATTACGATTTTGTAACCATGATAATAAGCGATATTTATGAGTAAAGTAGCAGATACAGCCAGGACTTGAAAAACTATCTGCTCTTTTAACCAGATACCCATATCTGCTATCTAAGTTTTGTAATTTGCTTGACAATCGGTCTTATAGCTACTGCTATAAGAGCATAAATGTACTTAGTTCCTATTCAAACCCTTGATGGCTAAATAGATTTGGGACATATTATTTCATTAAGGAAACCCTATTGATTTTGTTTTGACTTTTTCTGCGGTCACTTAATTAATTCCACTAGTTCAAAAGTGGGCAAAGAAGAGAACAGACAAAAATCTATGGTACTAGCAAAAACATCATTGGGAAAGCCCATAAAGCAGCACAAGGTTTTATGTGAGGAAAAATAGAGTGTCCTTTTAGTGACAGTTGCCGAAAAACGAGGCTACAAGAGGTCACAAATCGCCAAGTTACTGGATGGATAGAATCACGCTTCTTCCCAAATCTAGCCGCACTATATGGCAATAATAATCCCTAATATGAAAGCCGAGCAAGTCTTCTGGACGATAGAATCTACGACCCTATCCAGGAGCGACAAGTATCATCCGCATTGATTTACTTTCACCCCCTTCGAACATGGACTAATAGTGATTTGAGACCACATGATCATAATAGTCTGGCCTACAGTCAAATGATTTCCTATAGCTTTGATTTTTTTAGCGCCTTGAAAGATAAGCAAAATCAAAGGTAAGAGCACTGTCTGGATATACCGACCATCTCGTAGCGTCATTAGCCTTTAAGGCGCATGGCAGATGTCGACTATTTACGCAGGGCTTCTATACTAAAGTCAACAAAGGACTAACTGAGACAATTAGATAGGAAAGAGTCTTAAAGTTTTTCTGTAGGGTTTTTGCCTTTTTCCTTAGCACGAGCACTTAGATTTTGGGGAGATGAAGGCAATGCCATGGAGCCATTGTTAAGCCTAAGACTTCTTGCATCACAATAATAATTTCTAGGAAAAGCTTTAAAAAAAACGAAGTTCGGAGCTGTCAACGCGTATATAACAGGTGTACATAACATTCGTCAAGAAAGTAAATAATTGGCAAGATATCCATAATATTTCCTTGGCAATTGACGTCCTTTTACTTCTATAATTTTATCCCTAGCTAGTTTTTCCCTTTAAGAGGACTATACTCTAATCTTACCCATACATTATGCTTCAAACTTTCAATTTTTCCTTAAGTTTTATATATATATATATATATATATTACAGCCTTGACGTTTATAAATGGTAATCGCTTACTCGTTTTGTCAAGTCTAATAAATAACATTTTAATGTTAGAATGGCTTAGAAGGCTCTTTATGTTTACCACTACTGATTTAGCACAATGATAGATGCTAAGTGGTCACCAGCAGGAACAGGGCTTTCCTACGAAATAGGGGCTAAGTGAGCCCTGAACTACTTTGTCTGGTACGGTCTACTTATCTATGAACAGTAGGAAAATGGTCACAAACTAATGAAGCGTACGAAGAAAGCGATGAACGTATAATTAATCTCCACCAATAAGGCACAGCTCGCTTCAAGTAATCAATGCTGTTGTGTTTGCACGCCTCCGCATTTTTTACAGCGGCAGACAGCGTTGTCCTTGTTAACCATTTTTAGTGATCCTGAATTAAATCGAATTAAAATAATCGACTGGTTCATGTTTATATTTGATGATAATGCCGATGTATCAAAATAAAGCATACGACCCTGGTTTATTTCTGAAGTCAGTGTAGATCCATACCAGACGAAGTACATAGCTTAAATCTGCACTCCGCAACTATACACTTACTTTGCCCTCTTCAGCATGACGTGTTCAAGTTGCTCGATGGTGATGCACAAAGTGGATGGTTGTAACGAGACCCTTGAAGATGGCGTTCTTCGAATAGCCGGAAGCTCGGTGCGATGTTGTAGTCATAGTGATAGTGAGCGACTTTTGCAAGAGTACAGTAAAGGTGGCGCTACGTACAGCTAAAAATTCCAACAACGCCCTCTTCCTTGTAACAAACGAATTATTATACGTGTTTTGTCCTTAAAGTATTAAATAAGTTACGATTTTCTATGTTTATTCCATCGAAAGAAGATCGATATCTACGAAATAGCCTCACGAATCATGTTTTACCGATCTCTTATGGCAAAGTAAGGCGGATATATTTACAAGCTAAATTCGTATTAGAACCTCACAGTGGGCATAATGTCGACTGAACTTATGATGAGTTATCTTGTTTGCTAAACATTTGATTGATGCTGACCTGAAAAGGGTTCCTCTAATAGATTAGTTACGGCAGTAGTGGCTCTAAATGCTTATTTCCTCTGACTGTCAATACGCTATTGTTTTTCCAGTTGGGAAAATAGCTTTAGGACTCTTAGGTAGTTGAACCCTTACAACAAAAAAAAGGAATGCACATTATAATCCACAGTTGGCACCGACAAATCGCTACATGATGTCCCCAGTCATGCCCTTAGCCGAGAAGTAGTAGATATGATTCGATTTTCTAATGAGCTTTATTCCGGTGGATATCTCTGAACTAGTTTCTGTCGTACATATCATGGACAGATCTTGGAGATGATACAGTTCGAGGTGATGGCCCTATAGTAGTCGTCGTGGAGACAATAGCGCGCTTTCTCAAGGCGAGGTTAGTGATAGATTCAAACTATGTGTGTCGAGATCTATCTCATAGCGCTATTGCATTGTCAGATCACGCATCCTTAGCTGCCCTCAAATCCAATCAAATTATGTACAGAAATTAGGAGATAATAAGGTCCTGTATTTTATACATTCAAGTATAAAGAACAATTGTTCATCTAGTGACCGAACCGACAGGCTTCCATATATTTTTTGGAGTTTATATCATTTCAGGAGCTTCTATGCTGTGCAAAATCTACTTATTCTTCAGTAAAAGTATTGATCGCACTCGAACTTTTCCAGACCCGTCTTCGTTAACGATGTTGAAGACAGCTTCGGTGTGCTGGAAAAGGACGGGTTATTTAACGGCGCTCTTGGTTATATAGAACGAAAGGTAAGTGCTATTTGTTAGGGAAAATTATGAAATTATTTCATTACACGAAGTTTCAGTTGTTTTCGTGTACTTTATTTTACTGTATAATAAAACACACCTTGGTCAAAATAGTACCCTTAGTATTTTTTACAGTTTTTGCCGACGTTTCCCTCAGAAAGGAAAAATCTATCCGTTCGTCAATGCATTAACAAGCTGCGGCCTCCGCTCTGTAATGTTTACCTCTTCGGCTATGCTGCATTGATTGGAATACTCTATAATCAAATGGAACGATATCTGAACTATACGCCGAGTGTTGCAGTGTTCCGCACTCTCTAACGCGTTAGCGTTTGTCGGGCGACTGAGGAAGCGCACGGTGAAGCTCTGTCATACGCCAATATTTCTTTGCGTTGCCGTTTGCCAATTCACAATCTTTTCTATTAATTTTCTAACTAAAACGGATGAGTTGATTTGCTCAACTCCATGATTCTTTCCTCGGGCTCTGTTAGCTCCATTCTCAGCCTATCTGATGCACATCCTATTGGCGTCCAGTCTTCCATTGCGTTTAGGGATATCGTAAAAGATCCATACTTTATCGCAAATAACAATTACTTTTTGTCGCGCAAGCAATGAAATGCATGTTGTCAAACGGCTAGCGATCTCTTTCGTCTCTTTGCTTTATCCTTTGGGATCTTTCCGTTTTTCTATTTGCATCTTACTTGGCGCATGGTGGTGATTAACACTAGTTCTCTAGGATACTTCTAGCAGTGCGCAGAGCCTCCCTCAAATCGTCGGCGCTGCATTTTATCTGAAAAATGCCTGCAGTTTGTCGTCGGCGTCGTTCACTTATTCTGGTAGCGTGGTTTATCGCTCAAATTGCAATCTCTGGTTCTGAAGCGATAAAACGAGGACTGGCAAGTTTGCCCCTTACCCGTAAATAGTGTTTTCTGTTTCGGCAGGACTGCTACAATAGAATAATAGCAAAGAAGACAATGCACCTTTTTGAGCTCTTTGATTCAACGCACCCAATTGCCATTTCTAACGACAACAGGCAACACCCAATGCAACCAACGGGTCACACGCCCAATACTAAAAGTAATCATCCTCTATTTTTCAACTTTTATGTCCGGTATCACCGTTAGGCATTCCATCGGCCGGCTGGCTCGTACCTAAATACGGTATCCACTAAGTTATCACGGGGATGAGTAAGCGTCCTGCAAAATCCCAGCTGAATACGATGACCCGATCAACAGTAGCGCCATCTGTCGGCTCTGACGAAAAGTTTTCTTTAATTAATAGCAGAATTAATAAAGCGCCTAGGTTCGAAATTTTATGCTATATCTCGCAATTAAGAGCAGAGTGGACATAGGCCTATCTATCGTCCCGTTAGCTCATTAAAGATGATCACATATTGATTTAAGTCTACTGTTGATTTAGGTCGAAGGAGCAATTAGCAATGCAGTAGATCAGTGGTTTGTTTGCATTGTTAAAGTGGAAAGAAAATTAGTTTTATTTTACTTTATTTATAGATATTAGCCCAATCTTTTTAGTCTCGGTACGGCTACACTAACGGAGGACGCAGACTGATTGCACCGATGACTTTTTCTTGGATACGGCCAACCTCGCATCCTATTCAAAATCAATACAGGCTGATACTTTATCCTTTATTAACTTAGTACAGGCATTTGATACAGACAGGCATGTCTTGTAGGAGTCTGTTTGAACAGGATGCAGGAGGTTGTTGAATAGACCCAAATGCGTTTCGTAAAATATCTTTCGACAACAACATCATTGACCATGATGAAAGGAATAACAAGCTGTTTTTTTTTACATTATTATACCACTGACACAGTGACCTTTCTAAAAATAGGGCTCAGTTTGATACACCGCCGCAATACTTGCCACTGATAACTCACAAGTATGCCGATTACATATGCGGCTAAATTCTAAAACAAACTGTATTTCTGACCGTACGCAATCAGGAAGCGGATATATTCGGAGCTCCAGCTGGTATAAGCAGTGATCGTAATGATCGCTTCGACGTCCACGGACCGCTCTCAAGTGACAAAATCCACTTTTTTACAATAAAGCCCGACCTGTTGTTCGATCCGTGGGGTTTCATACGTACCTTTGAGCCTACTATTTGGTAAGTTGTTGTACATAGAGTAAACAATTAATATCCCTAGGGTAATATATATGTATATTACCTCATATACTAACAATATATGTATACATATTGTTAGTATATATAGCAAATCATTGTCACATAATATAGCATGTATCAGTGTGAACGGTGACGTTTAATAGTAAGATTTGTATAAAGCTAAATCAAAAGCCAAGCGAAACTAATGTAGAATGAAGGTTATCAAACGTTATCAATAGTTTTTTGCGCACTTATAGATCATTGTTGTTGGTAACGGTAAAAAAACTGCTGGTAACGGTTACGTTTGACCGTAGAGGAATCATGAAAAGATAAACGTAAAAATATAGATACAATTTATATATACGCATATCGTATACATATTTTTTGTCTTCATAGGTTATTACTATTGGGCACGTTGTTAGTATTGCCTATTTGTACAGCGTTTCTGCATACGTTCGACGGAAAGCTCCCAGGCTGCAACCCGAACAAAGTGACTCGCGGCATTTTAGGGTACATCTGGTTTTGGTTTGCCATCATCTTTCCACAACGTAAGCTATTTTAGGATAGGAATAATATTGGTGATCGCATTTAGCGGACACATCGTACAGATATGGAAAATGGCGGCTGTCGGTATTCCTAGGGAAGCCCATAGTATCAAAGATGATTTTAGTTTAGCAATTGCAATGGTTTTCCTTTGCAGCGGACTTTACGCCACGTAGCGTCTGGCTGCGGGCGTGCGCAGCGATGTTTATGTTGTCCATCAGCTTAATGCTGATGACCTTATTCGAAGCCGACCTAAAGGGCAGTCTCGTGTTCAAGAAAGAAGCAGACAACGTAAACTACTTCTCAGACGTGTTGCGGACCCGCGATATGCGCATCATTACTGAGAGAAATTCAATGGCCTCAAGCATATTTACAGCTAGTCAAAATTTATTTTTGAAAGCATTGAGACAACGACTCGATAAACGCGAAGGGATCCTTGCTGGTTATAATTTTGATTTACTTTTAAAGGAAATTCTAGATCGCAAGGTAAGCTGTTTTTACCTAAATTGCCTATACGCGATTTCTCCTCTCCGACAAACATTTAGCCCATCTAAAATATACGGTAATTATTTATTCAAAAAAAAAAAAAAAAAACATAAAGCATCGTTTAACTGTTGGTATTGGTTTGCATATCGAGCTTATCAACAGTAAATAGCAATATTGCCCTAATCAAAATATGGCGTCTGGCCAATATCTGATCTCCAGCGCCCTGAGCTAATTTGGTTTCCTCAAAGTTCGTCGTAGTGAACACCAGGAAATGGGTCTAACTAGAGCTTACAATTGACATCAGTACACTGTGATAACTCACTAATACTGTTGTTATTATGATGATACATTCGTGCTAGGCTGTGGTCATTACTACTGGTACGCCGGGGAAAGTGAGGCTCAGCAGGCTTGCCCAGCAAACTGGACGTTGTCCTAGCATCAAAGTTAGCGATGGCCACATAAGGAACCTCATTCTTTCAATACTGATGGGCCGTCATATACAAAAGCATGTTCGAGAACGCATCCAAAGCGCGTAAGTACTGATCACATTATAGGCGCTGCAAGATTCGTCGTTTGAAGCGCTTCAATTGGCCATATAGAACATGTTTGAAAGAGCTGGCCGTACGGTGGAAATGTTTTTTACCTTCCACCATGAGCGAACATACATTTACTCTATTTATGCGTACTGTGTTGGTCGATTCATTTCAATTCTACGATAGAGTTATCCGGGTAGCTGAGTCAGCTGTCTTTGAGCAGAAACTCCAATCTCAATGGTACCTTGCGGATCGATGTAAATCACGACCTCGGGAGTCGCTAGAAGCTCTGCACGTATTCGATTTTGAAGGTGTTTTCTACCTACTTTTCATTGGAGTCGCGGCTTCTACTCTCGGCCTTGTCTCCGAACTTCTCCTCGCTCGTACCCAACGAGATCCCAATAGGCATAACCAATAGGGCCGTCCATATCTAACTACTGCTTGGTAGAGCCTTATAAATTTAGCTTTTCTTTATTGATTCGATGAGTATCTATTAAAGAATATACATTCTTTTCATGGAATAATGGGCTTTATGCAGACATGGAGAGGTGGTTAAACATGAGTGTCTATATATTCTATGTACTTTCACTAATATGCGCAATTTTTTTGGCGATTTAAATGCTGAATATGAAATAAATTATTTGCTTGGAGAGCAGTAACGTCTGCATCTGAATAATTACGTAATTTAGACGGTACCAATAATTAATTAATTATTATTATTAGAATTAGTAAACATAAAGTTCAGCATAAAAAAAACATACAGATAGAAACGATATGTCTTAAAAATCCTGAACATTTAGCATGTAAAGACATGAAAAAGAAATCTTTTAAATAAAGACTATTAAAAGCAAAGGGAATATCTGTCAACACAGTTGGTTTCTATTCGCGTACCATACGTATGTGGCGTTTACCTACGTTACGAGCATCTAGTGCTAAGTAGAGGCTAAAAAATTCGCAGGGCTTTAAATACGACCACGCGAACTTATCAGTATATGCAGCAGCTGTTACGGTAGCGTCATCGTCGCCAGCAGAGGCGTGAGCGTAACTTTCAGATAGAATTTGGTAAAAGCAAAAATTTTATCTTTTTTTTTTTTATTTGTTTTCCCCATGTATAATCTAGGCTTTTCTTTTTACATGAGGGTACTCACATATGATAGAAGTTCTTAGCTTTGGGGAAAATACTGTGTCTATGGTTAGGACCATGCGCCTTAATAAACATAGGCACACCTTTACGTGTGCCTAAAATAACAACTCAAAGCCTTATTTATGAGTATTCGTCGCTTGTCAACTATCGTACAGAGCGAAAGTTGTAAAATAACACAGATACAACTTAAGAGCAGTTAACATTTTGGCGACCAAAGCACATAATGAGTTGTGCGAATAGCTGAGCTTTCGCCAGCACCCTATCTCAATATATGTACCATAGTATTTCGGAGAACTACACGCGCGGATCATCTCTTTATGTTTCGAAAATTTCTTTCAAAATTCGATTCATGGATGGGACATTTTCTCAAGGACGTTCCTATTCGCCATAACGAGAACAAATATACACTACCGGATCCAGAATAAACAGATAGCTTTCATAGTAAATCAAAAACGAGTTGGCCAGTTAGATATTGTACACTTTCGACCTCTAGCCGCTGTCGAAAAGCGCCGATATTGTTTTTAATAGTCATGTGTCGAACTGCGCGTAAAATGCTTGCCTGTCTAGTTGGACGGACAAACCTTAATGGATAGACCATCTAGATAGCATCGCTTATGTACACAACAGTTAATATGTGTCCCTTACCCTACGCCATGCTATGAGAGAACTTGTGTAATGAAATTTCCCCTTGTTAGCACACGAGCTGAGTGTATTTGTATGTCATTATTTATAATACAATCGTAAATTACTGATACTAAGGAACGTTTCTTTTCGAGACAATCGCTTTGGCCGAAATGGTTCTTCATATAGCACTGAAGACCTGAATATTTCAGCTGTTAGTTCTAACCTAAAACTCGGATATTTCGAGCAATCATAAATGTTGTACATACATAAAGAGTGTACGTTTTGTAGAAAAGCTATTGGAACAAGAGCGCATGCGAGCAGATGGTAAATGCTGAATAAAGCCAGAAAGACATGGATGAAAGATAGCTGCAGGAAGTCAGATACCCACATCGGAGAAAAACAAGTTTGCCGGATAAATGGCAATACGACGAGATGCAAGAGAAAGATAGGATCGAGAAGGCGAGGCACGTGTCCATCTGGATTACCATTAAGTCTGTACGAGGGAAAAGCAAAACGCGATAATCTTCTCAGGTTCGGAAGGTGCATTGTCACTCCATGATGTTAGCACCATCATGTCCCGCTAGCTTTGGAAAGAGGAAGTGCAATGGCGATTATATGGATAAGTTCACCTCAGCAACAAATATTCGGTTTAACATTAAGCAAATTCACCTAGTTCAGCCAAACGTTTTCCAAAAAGGCTTTATAATGGGCAGCATTCGATGCGACCAATGAAATACCTAAGTTCGAATGATTGATTCAAGTTCAGAGGAAGTTTCAAGGTAGAATTTTGCTGAATAGACGGATTTTTCACCTAAATTGCCATTCATTCATGTACAATTGAGAGCGAAACTACAATCATATACATTGAGGTAAGCTGTATCAAAATAATAAAAGGCGCTATGATCGCAAAGAGATTTTTCCAACACGGCTTTATATTCAGCAGGCATTTAGCAGTAAGAAGAACAAGGTTGATTAGGAAAGATCTGCCGCGTATGCGGCTATCAGTTACAGAATAAGTTCTCAAGTTCATGTTGTCCAAACCGACGGACCTCAATACACATACGGTGCAAACATTTTGACGGTTTGAAGTCCCACATGTTCTAGGGTAGCGTAGAGGCCGGCCCGTAAATCTAAATCAATTATATCAAACTGTAGAGTAATTACTGACCAGTTCTCTGCTATATCCTAGTGCCATAGTTGTGGAACATCTGTAGCTTCGGGGTGAAACATTGGGTCAACTGGTTTTTTCATTTCTCCACTGAAACCGAATGAAGACCATTGAGGAAGCTCTGAAACAGTCTGAAACAGATATAAATCTGAGAGTTCGAGATCCGGGCTATATTAAAACTTGCTATTTAAGTTTTGCCAAACAGCTAGAGGTATATGTGATTAGCACTTGGCATTGGTGTGGTGGAAGACGACGCTTTTTCTGTTCGTTATTTACAGTCGATTTTTCAATGGCTCATTGTAATCTTGTTTGTTGTCAGAAGAAGCGGTTCGAACCCCCCCCCCCCCCCGTTTTGTTAGGCAGATGCAACTTATAAGGTACAGTTCCTGTGCAGTTCCACCAAACACGTATCATCACCTTTTTTTCTGGCGTCACTCTGTGCATTGTAATAGAACAAAGAACACATCTCAAATCACTGTTATATGTTATATACATCATCCGTACTACGGCACTTTAAAGATGGCTTGATTTAGTCTCATTTCTGTAAAATTTCGCAGCTGAAAATACGATCGAGGAAATAAATCCCTGCGCGTCAATTCGTATGACATCCAAACGGCAAGTTTATTGCAGCCAACTACCTTGAAATGTTTTAAACTCTTTGGTCATGGCTGGAAATGTTTGTTTTTTGGCACCTGATTTAACCTTCACGATAATTTTATCACTTTTTTCGTAATAGGTAAACCATTACGGAACGTATCTTCAACATCGAAACTCCCAGAACGAAGACGACAAAACTATCTTTCGACCGTTTCCCTTAATAGTGCATCTTGATCACAAATAACACTATTTTTTTTCTATCGGCCTGATCAACATTTGTCTCGTTGGCGTAATGTAATTGCAAAAAACAGCGAGTTTTTTAAGGTACTTCGCTCACCTTCAAGGAGTTATTCGAAGTGTGAATAAAAGCGTTTTAACAGTTTGAGCACATTTACTATCGCTAGATCTTAACTTTCAAGTTCCACCCACGCCGAGCCATATAACCTGACGTATGTGCCCATTTAGCTAAAAAACGGTTAATAGCACGCGAAAACCGGACCAAAATAGCTACATATCGTAACCATCTCTGAGTATTACCAATTCACTGATTTGCACAGGAAATTTTCATACGAATACGGCATTTTCTATCTGTTCTCCTCTGGGTGGTACCGGATACGAGACAAACAGAACCCGATCGAGACTCCTAAATGTAGTTAGCAGTATAATTTTCTGTATTTATCGTTGTCCCTTTGTACCTGCATGTACAGAGGAATAGATCTAATCAATGTAGCTAGCGGATGATGAGCTTTTCCCTATAATAAACTGCATTGCTTTCATAACCCCTATATACAAAATGAGTTTAAAAAGTCTCTGGACAGTTAGAGATTTCTATTTTCACGTTTATAAAAGTATCAAAAGATACGCTAATTGTTGCAATGATCAGCGGTGCAACACATTTTACGGTTTGTAACATGCCATCCGGTAGCAACCCTGTAATTTTTACAGTATGATATAACGCTATAGCATACCCTTGTAATGCTATAGCGTTTACGGAAAACTGGACGATAACCAAATATATGTATGGCATTCCGCCTCTCCGTAAGCAAGCAAAAGGCTAGTAGAAGGCTATCGTCCGATAGAACAGCAACGTTTGCGACGGATCGGATGCCACAGTCTGGACTAAAGGCCTGCTATTGAATTGGCGAATTTACTACGGGACACGTAGCGGATATCGCGCCAAATATAGATGACACCTTTTGCTGCCGATGGTAACACTGAAATAGAACAGACTGGCTTACCCTCAGGTAAGGAGAGACCGAGGGTACAAAAAACCGGACGTGCAGGTCATAGCATCGTTGCATTACGGAGCGGCCCTGCATGCCAATCCAACGACGTCCTACCCCAAAAATTCGACCTATCGAAGAGCGTTCTGGAGCTGTGGGGCTGATGGATTGCAGGACAGTGTGTATCAAACAGTACCAAAAATAATCGATGACCCGAAACACCATATTTGTAAAATGATGGCGTATCGGGTCATCTAATCGGCCGTAAATTTAACTCCACGGCGTCGTCATTCAAAATTACGCGAAACCAGTTGAGTCATACAAGCGGTTCCAGAGGGACATTTGACTCGCGTTGTTTTTTAGGCGAGATGAAGACTGACTCTTCTGGCCTGGATCAACACGAAAATAAAAAATCCCGCAGAACTTGCCGTTTGTTTCAGTGGCCTCCAAATAAAATGCTAACCTTTGGTATACTTTATGGACTAATATCAGAATAACACGGTTTAAATTTAGTTGATAGTAAAAAAAAATAGCAACTTAGTCTGTTGAATGGAGAAATAGCGTAGCTTAACACATTGCATATAGCTTATCCGACGACAAGCTGTACTCAAAGAGAAGTGTTACAATAGACAAAAACTTATGACGTGTTTGGTCCGGAGATC